GTCTAGTCTATTCCTTATTCTATTCTATTCCTTATTCTAGTCTAGTCTATTCTATTCCTTATTCTATTCTAGTCTATTCCTTATTCTATTCCTTATTCTAGTCTATTCTATTCTATTCCTTATTCTATTCTATTCTACTCTATTCCTTATTCTATTCTATTCTATTCTATTCTATTCTATTCTATTCTATTCCTAGTCTATTCCAGTCTAGTCTATTCCTTATTCTATTCTATTCTATTCTATTTCTTATTCTAGTCTAGTCTATTCTATTCCTTATTCTATTCTATTCCTTATTCTATTCTACTCTATTCCCTATTCTATTCTATTCTATTCTATTCTATTCTATTCTATTCTATTCTATTCTATTCTCCTTCCCTTCCCATTCCTTTCCCTTTCCCCTCTTTTCCCTGCCCTTTTTCATCCCTTCCCTTCTCCATCCATTTACTTTCTTTCCTTTTCTCTTTTTATTAGTTTTGTGTCCTTTATAAAACTTATTCTTTGCAAAAATTGTATTTAATTTTTAAGATCCCCCCTCCCCCCGAGCTGTATCCATACCTAAAACATTTACCCAAGACCACCCCCCTAACAGTGTGGAGTACAGAAGATGTTGCTCTGGGACTCTGACTCTAAGAAGAGGCATCGTTTCGAGGCGTTTGAGACTAGGAAAGGAGAGAACTGGGAAAGACTGCCAGGGCACCTAGTCGAACTAGTCACTGAGGATATCCTACCCATCTGCGGTACCACTGCAGGCACTTTGCCAATAATAGTTGTTGAGTAAAAAGGGCAGTCTTGATCGTGGACTGGAGATTTTTGGATTGGCTATTGCCAAGAGGACTAGCAACTTGACTTTAGCTTAAGTTCCTGTAATTTCGTTCTAAAGAGCAAATGGGGATAAGACCCCTGAGATGTCCTCTTCAAATTGCAAACTCATTGGGGTAGGCCAGGGGTAGGCAACCTTCAGCTCTTTTATGACCCGTGAACGTCAACTCCCAGAATTCCTGAGCCAGCCATGCTGAGGGGAAAGGGAGAGGTTTCCAAGCTGAGCCATGCTGGCTCAGGAATTCTGGGAGTTGAAATCCATGAGTCATAAAAGAGCGAAGGTTGCCAACCCTTATCCTAGGACGAAGATTAAGAGCAGGGGTCTTCAAACTGGACCTTTTATGACTCTTGGACTTCAACTCCCAGAATTCCTGAGCCAGCCAATCTGAGGGGAAAGGGAAAGGTTTCCAAGCTGAGCCATGCTGGCTCAGGAATTCTGAGGTAGGCAGTGTTAGTAGATAAAAATGAGAGCAAACCCCATTTCCTTCTAGCACTGATGATGTAACCTGGTTTGGTAATGAAATATCCGCAAGAAGACAACCAAGCTCAGAGAGCACTTGTCAGATCAAAGTAGCTGGGCAGATACTGTGACAGACAGAAAGTCCCTCAGGTAACCAGTGTCCCCTTGGTCATGTGATCAAAATTCGGGCACTTGGCAACTGGCATGTATCTATGCTGGCTGCAATGCCTTGGGTCCTGTGATCGCCACTTGCAAACTTCCCAGATGGATTCGCTTAACAATTACACGATTCGCTTAACACCACTGTGCTGATTCACTGAGCCATCGTGGCAAAAAAAGTCGTAAAATTGTGACTGCCCTTTGCCACCAACCCAGCTGGCTTCTAAGACAAGCAAAGTCCATAGGGGAAGTTGAACTGGCTTAACGGCCGTGTGATTCACTTAGTGATTCGCTTTCATATCCATGGCAAAAAAAAAAAAAAAAGAGGTGATAAGTTGGAGTGCGACACATTGCAAGAAAACCACCAAGCTCAGAGAATATGACGGACCCCACAGTGTTACCCTGACTAGTATTCTAAAGATAACAACAACAATAATAATAAAGCTGGAAAGAACCTTGGAGGTCATCTAGTTCAACCCCCTGCTCAGGCAGGAAACCCTATACCAGGGGTAGGCAACCTTGGCTCTTTTATGACTCATAGACTTCAACTCCCAGAATTCCTAAGCCAGCCGTGCTGAGGGGACAGGGAGAGGTTTCCAAGTTGAGCCATGCTGGCTCAGGAATTCTGGGAATTGAAGTCCACAAGTCATAAAAGAGCCAAGGTTGCTTACCCCTGCCCTACACCATTTCAGACAAATGGCTGTCCAGTCTCTTCTTAAAAACTGCCAGTGTTGGAGCATTTACAGCTTCTGGAGGCAGGTTGTTCCACTGATTAATTGTTCTCATTGTCAGAAAATTTCCCTTAGTTCTAAGTTGCTTCTCTCTTTGGTTAGTTTCCATCCGTTGCTTCTTGTCCTGCCTTCTGGTGCTTTAGAAAATAGCTTGACTCCCTCTTCTTTGGGGCAGTCCCTGAGATACTGGAACACTGCTATCCTGTCACCCCTTGTCTTTCTTTTCATTAAACTGGACATACCCAATTCCACCAACCATTCTTTATATGTTTTAGCCTCCAGTCCCCTGATCATCTTTGTTGCTCTTCTCTGCACTCTTTCTAGAGTCTCAACATCTTTTTTACATCGTGGAGACCAAAATTGGATGCAGTATTCCAAGTGTGGCCTTACCAAGGCATTGTAAAGTGGTATTAACACTTCACCTGATCTTGAATCTATCCCTCTGTTAATGCAGCCTAGCACTGTGTTGGATTTATAATACGGTCAGCCTTCCTAGGTAAGGAAACAGGAAACGCAGCCAAATGAGCTGCTACTACTACTTTATGGTAAAGCTATATTAGCAGAACCTTTTAAGTCTGATATTACAAACCTCCCTCCTTTTTTACAGCTTGAGAAGTTGGGGAGATTCTTTTCTTACCGTAAATGCCGGCGTACAAGGCGACCCGGCGTATAAGATGACCCCCGTCTTTATAGCCGGGCCACATTCCTAGAACGTCGTCTTATACGCCAGAAACTACTAGTATTTCCGGTGTATAAGACGACTCGGCGTATAAGACGACCCCCGTCTTTGGCACCGATTTCAGCGCTCGCGGAAGTCGCCTTATACGCCGGCATTTACGGTAAGTCTCTTTCTCTGCCCATTATATAGCTGCGGGCTGTGCCTTCCCTTATCTCAGTGTTTCTCAACCTTGACCATTTTAAGGCATGTGGACTTCAACTCCCAGAATTCCACAGTCAGCATTGCTGGCTGTGGAATTCTGGGAGTTGAAGTCCACATGCCTTAAAATGGTCAAGGTTAAGAAACACTGCCTTATCTGAACATTCTCTATGCAGCCTCATGCCCTCTACTCAACCAAGGTCACTCTAGTACGAACACAGCAGAAATTAGACCGGTGAGCTGAAGACTGGGCCAGCATGAAATAATTGAGTGTTGCTGGGATCGTACTAATCACAGAGCCAAACATGAGTCTCTGTTACCAATAAACAAAGCAGGACCACAGTGGTAGAAAGGGCGAAGCAGATAAAATTAAAAAGTGCTCAAGATGGTCAGAAGAAATGGCGATGCCTCCTGCCAGCCTGCAGGAGGATTTTTCTCCTAAAACATCAGTACTTACAGGGTGGAAAGAAGGCATTTTGGACCCACCGTTCTAAAACTTGAGTCCAAGGTGGATTCTGATTTGGTTATACCAGGAAAGGCATCTCTGGATTAATGTGGTGGCTGTCCCAGGAACTGACCCTGGATTGCTGCCAACCTTGGTGTGTTGCTGCACATGATCAGTAGCTTAATTCCTCCAAGGGACCCCAGTCAAGAAATTCAAAATTTGAGTGCTTGGCCATCAACGTGTATTTATGATGGTTGCAGTGTCCCAGGGTCAGGTGATCGCTATTTGTGACGTTCCCAGCCAGCTTCCAACAATCAAAGTCAATGGGAAAAGCCAGATCCGCTTAACGACTGCAGGATTCATTTAACAACTTTTCAATTGCTTTAATGCTTTTAGTGCTTTAATCGTTTACCTATTTTTCTTTTTATAATCTGCAGGCCACCTGGAATCACCTTAAAAGGCAGATGGGTGGCACAGAAAGTGAATAAGTGGATCACTGCTCTGATTTAACTACGGTGGCAGAAAAGGTTGTAAAATGGAGCACGACTTGCTTAACAACGGCAAAGTCAATGGGAGGAAGTTAGATTTGCTTAACAGCCATGTGTTTCACCTAACAACTGCCTCGCTTAGCAATGGAAATTCTGGTCCCAATTGCGAGCATAAGATGAGGGCTACCTGGATCCAATTGCCATGAAAATGTTGACCACTGCTGAATAAAAGTTTCAAGGTTGAACTATGGGGTCTTTCCTCTGAGCTTGGTAACATCATTACTCTTAGCACTGATGATGTTACTTAGTTGGGTAATGAAACGTCTGCAAGGAAACAACCAAGCTCACAGAGCACCCAGGACCCCATAGTCCTTGTCCTCCTCCTCTCCCTTCTAGCACTGATGATGTTACCTAGTTGGGTAATGAAAGGTCTGCAAGGAAACAACCAAGCTGAGAAAGCACCAAGGACCCCTTATTTCAGTGGTGGCGAACCTATGGCACGGGTGCCAGAGGCGGCACTCAGAGCCCTCTCTGTGGGCACGTGTGCCGTCGCCCCAGTCCTAAGCCCTCAGCTGGGTTTTATAAAACCTTTTCGCTTTAGGCCTCCGCTGCTGTGTGCAAAAAAAAAAAAAAAAAAAAAAAAAGTTCAGTCAATCAATTTCAACTTCTCGCGGGGTAAAAAAAAGATCTCGCAAAGTTGGAATTGATTGAACTTTTTAGTCCCACCCAGTCTGCCGTTACCACCGCAGCCATGCCCAGCCAATGGGCCACACCCACCCAATGGGCCACACCCACCCAATGGGCCACACCCACCCAATGGGCCACACCCACCTGGCACTTGATGATGCATAAGTGGGTTTTGGGTTGCAGTTTGGGCACTCGGTCTCTAAAAGGTTCGCCATCACTGCCTTATTTCAACCCTGAGCCACAAATATTGTCTTCAACTGGTAAAGTTTTCATCTTTAAAACAACTAAGCAGGGGACACCCGGTCTCACCAATCAAGGGGCTTTTTATTCTTACCTTTCTTGGGAATATTAGCCAGTAAAGCTTTCAGCTCCTGGATCTTGGCCTGGACAGCTTTCTGGCCCTTCTTCTTTTTATCGCTTTCACACGTTCTTTGGGAGAGACAAGGAGTAAGTCAACCACAGAGGATCTCAATGCCAGTTTCCCCCAACCTCATGCATGCAATCAGTTTTCATCGAACCTGGAAACCTGCAGTTTTAGCCCAACAGTTGCCGTCAAAACTTCACCAAACGGGGCCGTTTGACCGCAGGACAGGGTAACACCCCGTAAAGGAGGTGGCCTTGCCAAGAACCCGGAGTGCATTCACATGATCGCCAGGGTGAGGCTGTCATACCATCAGAACTACAGAACTCCATTATTACAGGTAAGTTGCAACTTCGAACGGTCGTTAAGCGATCGGTCGTAAGTCGAGGACGATCTTTAAATGTTTATAAAAACTGCAGAGGGCAAGCATCATCTTTTTTTTTAAAAAAAAAAAGAGTTACTCTTCTTCTTTTACAGGCAGTGATGCTTTCAAACCAGATGGTGATGCCGCATGATAGTTATAGGGCAGGGATGTCAAACTCAATTTCACTTAGGGCCGCATCAGCATTGCGGTTGCTCTTGGACGGCCGGGTGGTTGTGGCCAGGGTTGGTGCGGCCTACTGGGTGGGTGTGGATGGAGAGGGTGTGGCCTACTGGGTGGGCATGGCCAGCTCTACATCGTTCGCGTCAAGGGTGCCTGTGGGGGCCTGGGCAGGAGTGGGACAGATCTGAGGGTCTCTGGCAGAAGGGGGTGGGACTGGGGCAAGTGCCAAGACATGGTCCATTTCTTCATTCCTCACAAAGGGTGACACCTTCCCAACATGCACCCAGGGGGCAGGGCTGACACGGCAGGGTCTGGTTCCTCGCTGTTTCTAGACGGCCTTGTGGACCTAAGACTGAATGCATTTCAGCATAGATGGCCACCACAAAATTGTATATTGGCCCCCGGCCGGCCTGGGCCAGGGCCAAGGCAGTGGGGGCCGTTCCCTCACTGTTTCCAGGATGGCTTCGCGGGCCACATGAAACCACTTCGCGGGCCACATCTGGCCCCGGGCCTTGTGTTTCACATGTCTGTTATAGATAGATAAAATAGTTTTCAGAGTACAGGCAGTTCTCGACTTACAACCACAACTGTGACCAGAATTTCCCTTGCTAAGCAAGATAAGTGAGTTTTGCCCCTTTTTACAACCTTTCTTGCCACACTTCTTCAATGAATCTCTGCAGCTGGTTAAGTTAGCAGACTTTGCTTGTCAGAAACATAATGCCGGGACACTGCAACCGTCGTAAATATGAGTCAGTTGGCGAGAGTCTAAATTTTTATTATGTGACTCTGGGGATGCTGTGATGGTCGCAAACGTGAAAGACAGTCATAATTCACTTTTTTTCAGGGCTGTTGTAACTTTGAATCATCGCTAATGAAGGGCTGTAAGTCAAGAACTACTTGGATAGGCTTGATATATATAGTAAAGTTTTCAGTGTCACAAAATTCTGTCAATAGATATGGGAACCTAAACAATTCTGCTTGGAAGAATCACTACGTGTCTTTCTTGGGTTTTGGGCCTGACATCAATCTAGCCAAACTGAAGCCCTCATTTCGTTTAGTGACCATAAAAGTTATAACGGCACTGAAAAAAGTGACTTAAAACTGGTTCTCACGCTTAAGACTATCACAGCATCCTCATGGTCAAGTGATCAAATTTTGCGGCTTTGGCACTTCTTCACGGATTTAAGACTTTACAGCAGGGGTCTTCAAACTTGGCCCTTTTGTGACTTGTGGACTTCAACTCCCAGAATTCCTCAGCCAGGAAGAGAGAAGGGGTGCCTAGAGTGGCTTTGTTTTTGGATTATGTCTCTGTGTCAGAAGGGATCATTAACTCCTCCTCTCAAGCCCAGTAAAGCAGGGGTCTTCAAACTTGGCCCTTTTATGACTTGTGGACTTCAACGCTGGCTGAGGAATTCTGGGCCTGGCTGAGGAATTCTGGGAGTTGAAGTCCACAAGTCATAAAAGGGCCAAGTTTGAAGACCCCTGCTTTACAGGATACAAGGTCACATGATCGCTGGTCTCTGACAAGCAAAGTCAATGGGGGAAGTCAGAGTCACTGAACAACCACGTGATTCGCTTAACAACTGAAGTGATTCATTTAACAACAGTGGCAAAAAAAGGTAAAATTAACATAATTCACTTAACTGCCTTGCTTAGCAATGGAAATTCTGGTCCCAATTGCCGTCATAAGTCAAGGTCTGCCCGTATTCTGAGAACTATTAGGGAGGGGCTGTCTTCACCCTCTTTCTCTCCCACAACACAGCTGGACTGAGCTGCCTGTTAATTCTTCTGAAATCCACCCATCCCTCCTGGGAATTTGGACTCTTACATTCCCTCACATCAGTACAGGAAAAAATAGCAACAGCAATAGCACCTAGACTTATATACCGCTTCACAGGGTTTTACAGCACTCTCTAAGCGGTTTACAGAGTAAGCATGTTGCCTCCCCCCCAACAATCTAGGTCCACATTTTATTGACCTCGGGAGGATAGAAGGCTAAGTCAACCTTGAGCTGGTGAGACTAGAACTGCCGGCAGCCGGCAGTCAGCAAAAATAGCTTGCAGTACTGATTCTAACCGCTGCGCCACCACTGTCTCATAAAGTCCTTTTTTTGAGGTAGTTTCTGAACAGAGAAAAGTCAGAATCCCAGTCAGCAGTGTTTCACATGGGCATCTTTTACAATAACAATAACAGTAACAGTAGTAATAGTAGTAAAGTTGGAATGGACTTTGGAGGTCATTTAGTCCAAACCCTTGCTCAGGCAGGAAACCCTATACCAGGGGTAGGCAATCTTGGCTCTTTTATGGCTCATGGACTTCAACTCCCAGAATTCCTGAGCCAGCCATGCTGAGGGAAAAGGGAGAGGTTTCCAAGCTGAGCCATGCTGGCTCAGGAATTCTGAGGGTTGAAGTCCACAAGTCATAAAACAGTCAAGGTTGACTGTCCCTGGGCTATACCATTTCAGACAAATGGCTGTCCAGTCTCTTCTTAAAAACTTCCAGTGTTGGAGCATTCACCGCTTCTGGAGGCAGGTTGTTCCACTGGTTAATTGTTCCGCTGATTAGAGGTTACCTGGCAAGATGCCTTTGATGGCACCTAAAGAGAAAATAAATAACCCAAAGGTCCAAACAAACTTACGTGGTATCGGAACAGTATTTCTGCAACATGAAGTTTGAAAGGTCCTCCAAAATGGGTTGGCTGTGTAGGGCTACAAACTGTTCACGGCATATCTAGGATTGAGAAAATAAAACACTTAAAACATTCTGGTCCTTCCTGAAACATGTAGAAAAACCATAGAGTACAGAGCAGACCTCGACTTACAATCATTTGTTCAGTGACCATTTGAAGTTACAACAGCACTGAAAAAAAGTGACTTATGACCGTTTTTCACACTTTCGACCATTGCAGCATCCCCCACGGTCATGTGTTCAAAATTTTATGATGGGTGCTGCATCCCGGTGGGGTTACATGTTCTCCATCTGCAACCTTCCCAGTCAACTTCCCAGGGAGTCAAGCTATTCTCCAAAGCGCCCGAAGGCAGGACAAGAAGCAACGGATGGAAATTAATCAAGGAGAGAAGCAACCTGGAACTAAGGAGAAACTTCCTGACAATTGGAACAATTAACCAGTGGAACAACCTGCCTCCAGAAGCGGTGAATGCGCCAACACTGGAAGTTTTTAAGAAGAGACTGGACAGCCATTTGTCCAAAATGGTATAGGGTTTCCTGCCTGAGCAGGGGGTTGGACTAGATGACCTCCAAGGTCCCTTCCAACTTCATTATTATTATTATTATTATTATTATTATTATTATTATTATTATTATTATTATTATTGATCATCGCGCAGTCAGCCAGATGTTCAGACTGGATTTGGCATTTTTGTCTACCTGTCGAGTCCTTACCAAGAACCTGGGATAGGCAGATGTGGATGTTTGATAGTATTACAGATATCGTCGCAGGATGGAAGCAGTTCCTAGTAAGGCCGCCTTTTGCAATTGACTAATAGCGAATTTGTCAATGCCAATGGTGTTCAAGTGGTGCTCCAGTTGTTTTGGGATTGCAAATTACTATTGGTACTACCCTTGCTTGCTTTTGCCACAGTCTTTCTATTTCTATTTGTAGTTTTTTGTATTTTGTTATCTTCTCCAGTTCTTTTTCATCTATTCTGCTGTCTCCAGGCATCATCATCATCATCATTATTATTATTACTTTCAACAAGCCAAGCCTAAGAGGGAAGGCCAATTCACTTAACAACAGTATGAGTCACTTAACTGCAGTGATTCACTTAAAATCATGGCAAAAGTGGTGGTAAAATTGGGCATGACTCACTTAACAGCCACCCTGCTTAGCAACCACAATCCTGGTCTCAATTATGGTTGTTAAGTCAAGGACTGCCTGCAGAAGTGCAAGCCAGCTGCTCCACAGATTGTACACCCCAAATCTTGGCCAACCTTGAGGAGGCTGATGGGACTCAGGAAGTCTCTGATCTGAACAAGAATGGAACATTCTCAAAGGACAGTGGGGATTCCCAAAGCAGACATGGAAATAAAATTGTAACCAATTTCCCCCCCGTAAGGAATAATGTAGTGAGTCACAAGGCAGCAGACACCAATCAGTTCTAGCTTGTACATCGTGAACCAAGCAAACTTATGAATACTGGGACAAAAATTTTGCATCAAAATGCATTGAGTACCAAATTTGTTGAGTTTCAAAGCAAGGTACAACTGTATAAGGCCGGTGTCTTCAAACTTGGCCCTTTTATGACTTGTGGACTTCAACTCCCAGAATTCCTCAGCCAGGGTGTCTGAGGAATTCTGGGACTTGAAGTCCACAAGTCATAAAAGGGCCAAGTTTGAAGACCCCTGTCTTAGATCAAGGCAGGATACAGGCAGAGGTGTATGGATGCCGTTATTCTTACTTTATTCATTATGTCAACCGTTGCTGCATGTGTCCAGAAACAGTCATGCACAGAGACAAATGTTAGCCCAGCCCTGAAAAAGAAGAGAAACAGTTGAGTTCCACCCTAGAAGGCAAATTTATATATTTAGAGAACATTTTTTAAAGGGAGAAATATTTGAAGTGAAGTCAGTACTGTATCCAGAAGCAAGGTCAGTGTTTATAAATAATTTGATGTAGATACAATGGGATGAGATTTAGAACTTAATATTGTTTTAACTAATTGCTTTTAGTATGTTTACATGTTTTCTTCTCCTTTTTCTTTCTTTTCATAGGATCAGTGGGATTTATTTTATGTAATGATAAACAGCAGTGACATCAATAGGTCCCTGTTTATGGTGTTGTAGAGATTTACAATTGTTTCTCAAGGTGATGGAATGACTTTAGTTTGATACAGTCTAATCAATGAGATAATGGATTCTAAATTTTAGGAGACCTATAAAGTGCTTGTTGTTATTTTATTTTCCAGCTAATACAGCAACTATGCTGACTTATAATCATTCATTTAGTGACCATTTGAAGTTACAACAGCGCCGAAAATAGTGACTCACAAGTGGGCCGCACAGTTATGACAGCATGCTCAGAGTCACATGATCAAAGTCTGGGTCTTGGCAACTGGCCCCTATTTATGACGGTTGCACTGTCCCGGAGTGCAGAAGAGAAGAGAGAGTGAGGGAGAAGAAGAGAAGCTTCTGTGAGAGAAGCAGTGAGGAGAAAGACAGAGGAGAAGATTCTGTGAGAGACACAGTAGGAGAGAGGGAAAAGTGGAGAGGAGAGGCTTCTGTGAGAGAAGCACTGAGGAGAAATTGAGGGAGAAGAGGAGAGGCTTCTTTGAGAGAATCAGTGAGGAGAAAGAGAGAAGGAGGAGAGGCTTCTGTGAGAGAAGCAGTGAGGAGAAAGAGAGAGGAGGAGAGACATCTGTGAGAGGCGCTGTGAGGAGAGAGGGAGAAGTGGAGAGGAGAGGCTTCTGTGAGAGAAGCACTGAGGAGAAATTTAGGGAGAAGAGGAGGCTTCATTGAGAGAATCAGTGAGGAGAAAGAGAGGAGGAGAGGCTTCTGTGAGAGAAGCAGTGAGGAGAAAGAGAGAGAAGAAGAGGAGAGACTTCTGTGAGAGGTGCTGTGAGGAGAGAGGGAGAAGTGGAGAGGAGAGGCTTCTGTGAGTGAAGCACTGAGGAGAAATTGAGGGAGAAGAGGAGAGGCTTCTGTGAGAAAAGCAATGAGGAGAAAGAGAGGAGAAGAGAGGATTCTGTGAGAGACGCAGTGAGGAGAGAGGGAGAAGTGAAGAGGAGAGGCTTCTGTGAGAGAAGTAGTGAGGAGAAATTGAGAGAGGAGAGGCTTCTTTGAGAGAATCAGTGAGGAGAAATTGAGGGAATAGAGGAGAGGCTTCAGTGAGAGTATCAGTGAAGAGAAAGAGAGAGGGAAAAGGGGAGAGGCTTCTCTGAGATCCCCATTTGCAATCTTCGCAGCTGCCTTCTGACAAGCAAAGTCAATGGAGGAAGCTGGATTCATTTAACAACCTGACTCTGAACAACTGCAGAGATTCTCTTAACAGCTATGGAAAAACATGTCGTAAAAATTGAGCGCAAGTCACTTTACAACCACCTGGTTGATTCTGATCCCAACGATGGTCGTTAAGCTGAGGGCTATGTTTTTCTCATTTTTTTTAAAAAAATATGTTAGTTATTTATTCTTTCAATGTTTTCAAATAAGCAGAAAAGACCGAGAATTAAGCAGATGAGTTGGCAACTGAATTTCCCTGAACTAGCTATTGCTAGCTGCAGACTGAGAGCACAAAGTGGAAGATGATAAGCGTGGAAATCCATTATTGAAATGAATTGCTACTGAACACCCACGAGGGGCCTTTTTATCAGCTTGTTTTGCCAAAGGCTGGTCACGGATCTTGCATTCTTTCTATGTTTATATGCAGTGGTTATTATTAAGGCTGCTGTTTTGCTACTATTATATATACTGTATATGCAGTTAACAAGTAGGCTGGCTTGGTCGCTCAGCAGAGAGACACTGGTGAAACGGGCACAGCAGCGCCTGCATTTTCTGCTTCGAATGAGAAAAGCACATCTTCCTTCCCCTGTCCTGACCACTTTCTGCAGAGGGACGACGGAGAGCCATCCTGTCACACAGCATCACAGTCTGGTTTGGAAGCATCCCTGCTTCGGACAAGAAGGCGGTGCAGAGAGTGGTGAGGATGGCAGAAAAGATCATTGGCAGTTTCCTCCCTTCCATCCAGGACGTGGCACCTAAGCGTTGCTTGAGCAGGGTCCGCAGGATTGTCTGGGGCAGGACACCTCCTCTTCACAATCTGTTTTCCTTGTTACCTTCTGGGAGGAGGGGGCTCCGTGGTATCCGAAGCAGAACATCCAGATTCAGTCCCAGTTTTGTTCCATACAGTATTAACCTTGTGACCTCTCAAGCTTCCTCCTTCCATTATGTATTCAAGATGGACAGTGATTAGTATTTATATGTTGCTTATATGTAACGGTGTAGGTCTATACATATGTTCTCTATAGTATAGTTTTAAATGTGTGTTATGTATGTGCACACTTTGAGAGCAAGCAACTAAATTTCATTCTTAATGTGTGCCATTGTGCCCACAGGAAAAAATGACAATAAAGATTATCTATCTATCTATCTATCTATCTATCTATCTATCTATCTATCTATCTATCTATCTATCTATCTATCTATCTATCTATCTATCTATCTATCTATTTTCTGAGGTTTTCGCGGATGTTTGTATGTAGGTCTTTGGTTATTCGGGTTTTCTCCCACGTCAAATTGGAAGTATCTTGGCGACGTTTCGACGAAGTCTCATTCGTCATCTTCAGGCTGGTGTTTTCGGCTTCGTGCTTCTAGGAGCCTGAAGATGACGAATGAGACTTCGTCGAAATGTCACCAAGACACTTCCAATTTCACGCGAGAGAAAACCCGAATAACCAAAGACCTATCTACCTATCTACCTACCTATCTGTACAGGGCTGCTTTTTTCTCTCTCTCTCTTCAAAATCCTGCTCTTAATACAGAAAGTCCTCGACTTACGATCACAATTGAGCCCAGAATTTATGTTGCTAAACAAGAAATTTATTTTTGTCCTATTTTAAAGACTTTTCTTGCCACGTCTTGTTAAGTGAATCATTGCAACTGGTTAAGTTAGTAACTGGGTTGTTAAGTGAATCTGGCTTCCCCATTGACTTTGCTTGTCAGAAGGTATCAAAAGCCGATCACATGATCCCGGGACATTGAGGCCGTCATAAATAAGAACCACAGCTGTCAAGCATCCAAATATAAATCACGTCACCATGAGGATGCTGCAATGGTCATAAATGTGAAAAATGGTCCGAAGTCAGTTCTTTCAGTGCTCTTGTGAATTTGAATGTTCACTAAATGAACTGTTGTAAGTCGAGGACCACCTGTAACTGGAAGGAAAATTATGATGAGTAAACCTCAACTTCCCTTGCTGGCTGGAAGGAGAAAGAGGCGAGGCAAGGAGGGAATTTGAACAGTGCTAAGATAATAGAGCAGGAAGTGGGCCCAGTCAATGAGACAATAATAGAATTTGAGTGTACTCAGAGGTCATCTAGTCCCCAACCTTTTGGGCACCAGGGACCGGTTCCGTGGAGAGAGGACTGGAGGGTGCGTGGCTTTTCCGCAGACCGTAGGGTGCGTGGTTTTGTGTGCTGCCTGCATCCCATGGATGGGGCTTTGCTTGTTTGTGCAGACCGCTTGCTGGCATGCTGCGGCCCGATACCAGTCCATGGATCAGGGGTTGGGGGTCCCCTGATCTAGTCCACCCCACAACACTCAGTGCAGAGTTTACAGGTAGTCCTCGGCTTACAACTATTCATTTAGTGCCCATTCAAAGTTACCACAGCACTGAAAGAAGTGACTTGTGACTTTTTTAGTTTCCACACTAAATGACCGTTACAGCATCCCCATGGTCATGTGATCAAAACTCACAGGGTGGATATGGACCATGCCTGGGGGGGGGGGTGGAGATGGGGGGTGTATATTGGAACTTTGAATCTGGGCCATAAGTCTCATTTTTGGAGTCCATGGGGACTTCAAATGGTTGCTAAGAGACTGGTCGTAAGTCAAGGACTACCTGCATACATAAACACAGGTAGTCCTCGACTTACAATAGTTCAGTTAAGTTACAACGGCACTGAAAAATGTGATTTATGACCGTTTCTCACACTTACAATGTTTGCAGCATCCCCAGGGTCACATGATCAAAACTCACACGATGCTCTTTTGCAACCTTCTGACAAGCAAAGTCAATGACAGCGAGGACCATCAACCAGTGGAACAGCTTGCCATCAGAAATCGTGGGCACTCCATCACTGGAGATTTTTTTAAGAAGAGGCTAGACCAGGGGTAGACAACCTTGGCTCTTTTATGACGCGTGGACTTCAACTCCCAGAATTCCTGAGCCAGCCATGCTGAGGGGAAAGGGAGAGGTTTCCAAGCTGAGCCATGCTGGCTCAGGAATTCTGGGAGTTGAAGTCCACGAGTCACAAAAGAGCCAAAGTTTCCCTCATGCTGGCTCAGGAATTCTGGGAGTTGAAGTCCACGTGTCATAAAAGAGCCAAGGTTGCCTATCCCTAGATTAGACAGTCACTTGTCTGAGATGGTATAGGTCAGGGCTTTTCAACCGGTGGTACGCATACCACTTGTGGTACATTAATGAGTGGCAGGTGGTACGCAGCCCTGCCTAGCCAAGTGTAGTGGGGGAAGGAAAGAGCCAGCACAGGCAAGGACTTGCAGTGAGAGAGTCCTCTGGAGCTGCAAAGGCCCCAGGCTCACCCTCCCCCATGAGAAAGGAGGAAGGGAGTGGAGACAGGAGAGCCTATTAAAGGAGGCAGTTTGGGCAGGAGAGGGAGAGAGAAAAAAAGCAGCAGCCTTGGGAGGAGGCAGAGTCAGCTGCACCGAAGGGGAAGAAGGAGGGGGAGGGTGGGGGGAGAGGAGATCAAGATGGCCGGCCATGAGCCGATCTACAACTGCTGTGGCAGCCACCTGTGCTGGCAGCAGCAAACAGGCAAGAAATGCACCAGGAGAGGGGTCGCCCTCCAAGAGGAATGAAAAAAGGCAGCAAGGGCTGGAGGTGAGTCACGGAGGAGGGAAGGAGATGAAGAGTGGAAGGATTCTTATGTGCTTTTGTGACTTTGAAGTTCTGGGATTTGTGCAATGAGGGCTTTGTGTTCTTAAGGAGCATTTGGCAATTTCTATTTGGCTGATGGCTGATGTCTTGTGTTAGCTTCTATTACGCTGCTGTTAACTGTAAGTTTTGCTGCAAGGGATTTTGAAGTATTTTTTCTCCTGAATGGATTTTGCCTGTAGCATTTCTTTACTTATGAATGGAGCCATTTGGGGAGTTTGCCTTAACTGGCAGCCAGTACTTACATTTTTTTTCTTCCTTAAGTGCCGGCTGCGCTCCTTACTTCCCTTTCTAGCCAGTAGTTAATTCTTAAAGGGGAATGTGCCCTTTTAAACTAGTTCACTCAGCGGCTTGTCTTTTCTGTCTCTGGAGGCCTTTCCTTGTTTGATCAATATATGGAAGAGGGAAAATATGGGGGGGGGGTTTCAAATTCTTCCTTCAGAAGGAGATGGGAACGAGAAAAAGGGAGGCAAGGAAGGGAGGGAGGAAAGGAAGTCCCGCCTTAGCACTTGGCCACCAACAGCTCTGCCATTGACTTTGTTTGTCAAAAGGTTGCAGAAGGGGATCACATGACCCTGGAACACTGTGACCATTATAAATATGAATCAGTTGCCAAGCATCCAAATATAAATCACATGACCCTGGGCTAGCTGCAATGGTCATAAGTGTGAAAAATGGTCATAAGTCATTTCAATGCAATTGCAACTTTGAACAGGTTTTTTTTTTTTTTTTTGGTCATTACGTTTTTGACACCTTGCCAGGTGGTACTCGAATATTGCCATATCCTAAAAGTGGTACAATCGGTAAAAAGGTTGAAAAGCCCTGGTATAGGTCAGTGGTAGCGAACCTATGGCACGGGTGCCAGAGGCGGCACTCGGAGCTCTCTGTGGGCACACGTGCCGTTGCCTCAACCTTGCCTCCCCCCGTGACCCCCTCCTCTCCAGCAGCCCCCCCTGAAGGAGAGTCGCCCTCGAGTGTGGCCCACACGGAGCAGCGCAGCCAAGGACATGGCAGCCAGGCAGCATAGACAAGACTCTGTCCTCACACCCCATCATGTAGTTGATGCTGCAGGGCGTGGGCAGAGGGTGTGGCTGCCATAGTGCTGCTGGACTGCCTGGGTGATCTGCGGTGGGCCCTGGAGGTGGTGAGTGGTCCTGTGGGCAGGCAGGGCGGTGCCGGGGGGGGGAGTGGGGGCGGGGCCAGTTTTTGGGCACTCAGCCTCTAAAAGGTTCGCCATCACTGGTACAGGTTCTCCTGCTTGAGCAGGGGGCTGGACTAGAAGACCCCCCAAGGTCCCTTCCAGCTCTATTCTATTCAACCGGAGAAGCCAGATTTACTTAACAACCGAGTTACTAAGACTTAACAAGTGCAGCAATTCACTTAACCACGGTGATAAAGAAAGGTTGTAAACTGGGGGCAAAATTCTCTTTTAACAAAGGCCTTGCTGAGCAACAGTAATTTTGGGTTCAGTTGTGATCGTTAAGCAGAGGACTATCTGTAGTGTGCAGGATAAATAAATTTTAAAAAATGAACGTACCCATCAAAGGGGAAACACACCCTCCCTCTCAAATTCCCATTCTTGGCCTTCTTACTTTTGACAGTGCAAAGCTGTCAACATCATGTGGCTGGAATCCAGAGAATGGATGAAGTTGGGTGGAAAAGCATTCTTCTGCTTTCGTGTATTTGGCTTCCTGGAGAGAAAAAAAGAGCAGGAAAGCGTTTGAATTCCAGATCCGTCTGACCCACCCTAATCGAGACCCATCTGTAGCAGCTAACCAACATTTCCATCCAACAGTCCCATTAATGTAGCCCCGGGCTCTCCAAACCTGGCCACTTTTAAGACTTTTGTGGACTTCCACTCCCAGAATTCCATGCTGGCTAGGGAATTCTGGGACTTGAAGTCCACCTGCCTTAACGTGGCTGAGATTGAGAAACATGCTTTATCATGAAGCACCCGAAGAATTAGATGTATGATTGTTTGCCACAGTCGCTCTTTGAGATGGATGGTTAGACAAACCCAATCAATCAATCAATCAATCAATCAATATCACTAGAGAAAATTGATGCAACTCTTCAGATGCCTCGTCTGTTACCCCAGGTAGGGAGCACCTAAGCTGAATTGATTTCACCTATAAAGCCAAACCTCTGACAGAGGTGGACAGTTAAGAAACAGGAAAATAAAAGCCTTGGATTTGTAAACAAACTTAATAAGTATTTTGGATTTGCAAACAAAGCTAATAAATAAACAAAACTCCCTTTTAACGACCCTGTAATCCTTTTATTCAGGGTGGAGTTGGAGTGGCTGAATGGAGCTGAGCATTTACTGGCTGGATGCCCTTCCTGACGCCTATGCAAAGTTTGCAGCAGATATTTTTCTCTTTGCCCCCTGATAAACTTCTGCCCACTGCCTGGGATTGAACTCTCAACCTTCAGAGTGGGAGGCGAGCATTTTCACCCCACTAGGCCATCACACCGCTCCAAATCTAATAAATAAATAAAATGCATATAATAATAATAATGATGATGATGGAAAGGACCTTGAAGGTCATCTAGTCCAACCCCCTGCTCAGACAGGAAACCCTATACTTCCTATATTTCCTAGTTCAAAATCAGGGATTGAATTTGAAAAAAAAATAATAATAACCTCACCAATCGTTAAGCATATTTGATCAATGGCATTTTCTTTTTAAGTTGGAGGAGGACACAAATAACCGTAGAGGCTCCTCCTAGACCAGGAGTAGGCAACCTTGGCTCTTTTATGACTTGTGGACTTCAACTCCCAGAATTCCTGAGCCAGCCATGCTGAGGGGAAAGGGAGAGGTTTCCAAGCTGAGCCATGCTGGCTCAGGAATTCTGGGAGTTGAAGTCCATGAGTCATAAAAGAGCCAAGGTTGCCCACCCCTATACCTAGACTGTGCCAGCCGGAATTAAGGAGAACTGGACTTTTAACAGTATAACAGAATAACAGGATTGGAAGGGACCTTAGAGGTCTTCTAGTCCAATCCACTGCTCAGGTAGGAAACTCTATCATTTCAGACAAATGGTTGTCCAATCTCTTCTTAATAACTCCAGTGTTGGAGAACCCACAACTTCCAGAGGCAAGCCGTTCCACTGATTAATTGTTCTGTCAGGAAATGTTTCCTTAATTCTAGGCTGGATCTCTCCTTAATTAGGTTTCCATCTGTCGCTTCTTGTCCTATCATCCAACAGAATTTGGATGGCTACAGATTTCCCACTCTGGACTTTAGAGAAAACTGTTTACTTCAGAGAGATACTCACTGGTCCACCTTGTAGCTTGACTTTAAGTGGAGGTTCTGCAACTCACCCTTTACCTGGACAGAAAGAGAGAGAAAAAAAGCAATTTTGGTTATAAGAAGCATTCCTGAAAGTCAGTACAGAGAAGAACATAAGGATCAAGAGGGATTTTCAGAGCATTTATCTGTACTTATCGTGATCTGAGTACAATTCTTGCCAACTAATGGGATGCACCCATGTACAGTTAGACTTTGACTTACTACCATCATTCAGCCTAAATTTTGGTTGTGTGAGGGTTGTTAAGCTGGTCACCATGTGAAAGTGCCGAATTTTATGATCTGTTTTCTGGCGGTTAAACACCGTTAAGGGACTGCCATGGTCATTAAATGAACACCACGGTTAAGTGAATCCATTGTTTGCTATGGGGTGTTTGTTGTTGGAAACTGGAAGTAAATGCTGGTTTCTAGGCTGCATGAACAGAGGGATAGAATTAAGATCACGTGAAGTGTTAGTACCATTTACAATGCCTTGATAAGACCAGACTTGGAATACGGCATCCAGATTTGGTCACCACGATATTAAAAAAGAAGCTGAGACTCTGGAAAGATTGAAGAGAAGAGCAACAAAGATGATTAGGGACCTGGAGGCTAAAACATATGAAGAACAATTGCAAGAATTGGGCATGTCTAGTTTAATGAAGAGAAGGACGAGGGAGGACATGATAGCAGTCTTCCAATATCTCAGGGGCTGCCCCAAAGAAGAGGGAGTCAAGCTCTTCTCCAAAGCGCCTGAAGGCAGGACAAGGAGCAACGGATGGAAACTAATCAAGGAGAGAAGCAACCTAGAACTAAGGAGAAACTTCCTGACAGTAGAACAATTAACCAGTGGAACAACCTGCCTCCAGAAGCTGTGAATGCCCCAACGCTGGAAGTTTTTAAGAAGAGACTGGACAGCGATTTGTCCGAAATGTTATAGGGCAGGGGTGTCAAACTCAATTTCATTGAGGGTCGCATCAGCACTGTGGTTGCCCTTGGGGGGCTGGGTGGATGTGGCCAGGGTGGGTGCGGCCTACTGGGTGGGCGTGGATGGAGTGGGTGTGGCCTACTGGGTGGGCATGGCCAGCTCTACATCGTTCGCGTCAAGGGGGGCTGTGGGGGCCTGGGCAGGAGTGGGAAAGATCTGAAGGTCTCTGGCAGAAGGGGGTGGGACCGGGGCAAGTGCCAAGGAATGGTCCATTTCTTCATTCCTCATAAAGGTTGACACCTCCCCAGTATGCACCCAGGGGGTGGGGCCGATACAGCAGGGGCTGGTTCCTCGCTGTTTCCAGACGGCCTTGTGGAGCTAAGACTGAATGCGTTTCACCATAGATGGCCACCACAAAATTGTACATTGGCTCCCGGCCAGCCTGGGCCAGGGCCAAGGCAGTGGGGTCCATTCCCTCACTGTTTCCAGGATGGCTTCACGGGCCACATGAAACCACTTTGCGGGCCGCATCTGGCCCCCGGGCTTGTGTTTGACATGTCTGGTATAGGGTTTCCTGCCTGAGCAGGGGGTTGGACTAGATGACCTTCAAGGTCCCTTCCAACATCATCATCATTATTAAATGATATAGGTTTTCCTGCCTGAGCAGGAGGTTGGACTAGAACAGAGGTCCCCAAACATTTGGGCACCAGGGACCGGTTCCGTGGAGAAAGGTTTTTCCACGGACCGGAGAGTGCGTGGTTTTGTGTGCTGCCTGCATCCCACGGATGGGGCCTTGCTTGTTTGTGCGGACTGGTTGCTGGCATGCCGTGGAGTGGTAGTGGTCCACAGACCGGGGGTTGGGGACCCCTGGCCTAGAAGACCTCAAAGGTCCCTCCGTTATTCTTTATAAATAGGAGGGTTATCAGGAGGATATAAATCCTTCCGTTCCCCAACAGCCAGTTAGAACAGAAGAAGCTTCCTGGATGAGAAGCAAAATGTTTTCAAAGAACGCCCCCCCCCAAAAAAAAAATCCAAACCAACACAGTCCAGTTACCTTTTGGCAAAAGTGGCTTCGGGATTGAGCCTGCCAACACGTTCCAAAATCGGTCTCAAGTGCAAAATAGGTCTGAAACAACTGAAGCAGAGCTTCATCATTTCCAAAGTGTTTGAAACACTCCAGTTTGAGTTTAAAAACAAACAAACAACTTCCAAAATGGTAACGACTGACCCATCTTCTTCTGAAAACAACCGTTTCTGACTGGAGGCAGCTTGGCACAAAACAGAGCACTGGGACCCTCCAAAAGGGTCGCGTTTTGAAAGCTTTTTGCCCCCCCCCCAAAAAAAACCTTTCTCCTCTATGTCCTGTGCAATGGTGCCTTGAACAACAGGCCAACATCATTCAGCCTTGCTGCTCTCTGAGCTGGGTTTTTTTCTTGCAGACGTCTCGTTACCCAACTAGGTAACATCATCAGTGCTAGGAGGGAGTGGGGTTTGCAGGGGAGAAGAGGAGGATTGTGGGTTCCTTGGTGCTCTCTGAGCTTGGTTGTTTTCTTGCAGACGTCTCATTACCCAACTAGGTAACATCATCAGAGCGGCTTTGCGCTCTGCCCCCCCCCCCTTTTACACACACAATATTTAAGGACAGGTCAGTACAAAGTCAATTCCTCTGCAATCTTAAGGATGTGATGTTAAAAGGGAATGTGGGGGGGGAAAGCAAACTTGGGTCTGGATTCCTCAAAGTGTTGTTGTGTAGTTGCCGTTCCCTCTGACCCAGCAGGTGGGGCTGGCTGCCCCCTCCTCCCCTGAGAGAGAGGCCAGAGCATAAGGCCCCTCAATTCTTCAGGGCAACTGATGTAAACAGAGTATAAATTCCAGCACGGAATTCTGGGAGTTGAAGTCCTCACGCCTTTTAAAGGGGCCAAGGCTGAGAAACAAGTAAATTATTGGGGGTGGGAAGCAAGAGATAATCATAACCAATAAATCAGTGGCCCTCCATTTAACCCAGTGTTTCTCAACCTTAACCATTTTAAGGCATGTGGACTTCAACTCCCAGAATTCCACAGCCAGCATTGCTGGCTGTGGAATTCTGGGAGTTGAAGTCCACATGCCTTAAAATGGTCAAGGTTGAGAAACACTGGGTTAACCAGCTCTGCTTTCTGAAATAAACCCCACTATTTCTTTTTAGGGAGAGGGTGAGCGTGTGCAGTGTGGATGGGTTTGTGTATTTGAAAGGGTGGAGGAGAAAACAAAACAAAATAATTAAAAAAAAAAAAAAGCCACGGGCAAGACAAAAATTCACTCTTTTCTTCCCGAAGCTTCAGCAGCTGTTTGCTACTCCTGGCAAAATCCCCCTTGGCTGTCCTGTCTGCTGAGTCACCCTCCCCTGAATGGCTGACTCACGCCTTCCAGCACTGCAAAATGCTGAGTCATGCCACCACTCTCCCCTCCCTTGTTTGGAGGCTCCCCGGTGGGCAGGGAGGGGGTGCTCTTGACTGTAAGTCTCCCCCACACCCCAGAAAACCCCAGCACCCACATTTCAAGCTGGCCTCAGCTTTCTGTTTCCTGCCTCTGTTTGAAGGAGGAGAAGAGGAGGAAGAGGAGGATGGGAGGGAGGGCGGGCGGGCGGGAGGGAGGGAGGAAGAAGAAAAAGAGAAGTGAGATGGAGGGAGGGAGGAAGAAAAAAACAGAAGGAGGGGAGAAGAGGCAGAGAAGTAGATGGAGGAGGAGGAGAGGAGGAAAAAGGGAGGAGGAGGAAGGAGGGGAAGAGAAGTAAGATACAGCAGAAGGAGAAGAAGAGAAGAGAAAGAGGGTGGGTGGGAGAAGGAAAAGGGGGGAGGTGGAGGAAGAGGAGAGGAGGAAGATAAGTGAGATGGAGGAGGAGGAAGGAGAGGAAGAAAAGTGGGATGGAGGAGGAGGAGGAGGAAGAGAGAAGGAAAAAATAAGCAGAGGAAGAGGAAGGAGTTAGAGAGGAAGAGGAGTAGAAAAGAGGATGGGAAGGAGAAGGAAAAAAAGGAGAAGGAGGAAGAAGAGAAGGAGGAAAGGAAAAAAGAGGAGGATGGGAGGGAGGGAGAAGGAAAAAGAAGTTAGTCCTCTTTCAGGGTAACTTCATTCCTGTTGGATCATTACAGATTTAGCCAAGATGATTTGCACAAATTATAATCATCAAAAAATATGGAAGACTCTAATCCTCAAGATCTCTTCTGCAGCCCAATTGGGGGGGGGGGGAGAGAAACGGGAATTTACTGATTTAAACCAAAAAGTACCTCTTTTTTGGATTGTATAGGTCAGGGGTAGGCAACCTTGGCTCTTTTTATGACTTGTGGACTTCAACTCCCAGAATTCCTGAGCCAGCATGGAGAAACTATGGTCCCTTCATGACTCGTGGACTTCAACTCCCAGAATTCCTGAGCCAGCATGGCTCAGCTTGGAAGCCTCTCCCTTTCCCCTCAGCATGGCTGGCTCAGGAATTCTGGGAGTTGAAGTCCACGAGTCATAAAAGAGCCAAAGTTTCCCTCATGCTGGCTCAGGAATTCTGGGCGTTGAAGTCCACGAGTCATAAAAGAGCCAAGGTTGCCTAGCCCTGGTATAGGTGGTCCTCAACTTACGTCCACAATCGAGGTCAGAATTTCCATTACTAAGCAAAGCAGATGTTAACAGAGTCACGCCTGATTTTATGCCTTTTTTTTTGCCACGGTTGTTAAATGAATCACTGCAGCTGTTAAGTGAATCCTGCGGCCACGAGCGAGTCTGACTTCTCCTGTGGCCTTCGCCTGTCGGAAGCCACCTGGGACAGCTGCAAAGGGGGAATCATGTGACCCCAGAATGCAGCAACTACTGTAAATACACGGCAGATGCCAAATGCCCAGATTTTGGTGAGGTGACTGTGGGGACGCTGCAACAGTCTTAAGTGGGAGGACCGATTCTAAGTCACTTTTTCCAGTGCCGTTGTAACTTTGACTGGTCACTAACTGAATGGTTGTAAAGTCCGAGGACCGACGGTAGTTCGGAGTAACACCTCCCACAAACCACACACCTCTGGATCTTGATTTAATATCATTTTCTGACCTTGGAGGGACATAAACAGATATCTTACCAACATGGATTTCTTGTTGTGGTAAGGCTGAATGATGGGCAGGCCCAGGGGGGTCACCCACTCCACCGTCTGGCCGATCTTGGAAATCAGCCAGGCACTTTCGGTCAGCCAGTTCTGCAAGACCAAAAGGGATAGTGAACAAGAGAGTTTGGCGTGGGGTGGGAGAGGGTGGGGGAGGGGAAACAGCTTAGGAAAGGGACCGTGTTCGGAATTTCGGGAGAAAATTCAGAGATGCCACCAGCTTTGAATTCCCCCACGGGCATCCTGTTGGTTTTGTGAGTTAAGAAGTCCAAGAACTGTACTCCCAAATGCGTACGTTATTATCACATAACTAGAAAGTGGGAGACAGTGAATTACAGTCCTGCCTTAAGCACAAAAGCTGGCTGTGTGGGCCAATCACCAGGAGATGGTGAGTTCTAGTCCTATCTTAGGAATGAGAGACGGCTTGGTGACTTTGGACCAATCCCCAGGAGATGGTGAGTTCTAGTCCCGCCTTAGGCATGAAAGCCGGCTGGGTGACTTTGGGCCAATCCCCAGGAGACGGTGAGTTCTAGTCCCGCCTTAGGAATGAGAGGCGGCTGGGTGACTTTGGGCCAATCACCAGGAGATGGTGAGTTCTAGTCCTGCCTTAGGAATGAGAGACGGCTTAATGACTTTGGGCCAATCACCAGGAGATGGTGAGTTCTAGTTCCGCCTTAGGCATGAAAGCCGGCTGGGTGATTTTGGGCCTGTCATTCTCTCCCAGCTTAATTTACCTCACAGGCTTGTTGCGGGGGAAATAGGAGGAGGAAGTATTAGGTATGTTCTTCATGAGTTACTTTATAAACAACAATAAAGGCAGGGTTAAAATCACATCATCATCATCATCATCGTACCCTACCCAACCGCCTATCCCCCACACAACATAAACTCTGGCTATTCTTATCTTCACCTCAGTGCTGAGGCCCCACAATAAATGCAATCTCTGATCCCTCAAAGATTGTCCTCCTCTTGCTGATAGCTTCTGCTAAACCAAAGGCTTTTGATTTACTGAATACAGGTAGTCCTTGACTTTCAACCACAAACTGAGCTCAAAGTTTCCGTTGCTAAGCCAGACAGGTTGTTAAGTAAATTTTTGCCCCATTTTATTGCCACAGTGGTTAAATGAATCGCTGCAGTTGTTATGTCAGTGGCACAGTTGTTAAGAGACTTTGTCAGAAGGTCGCAAAAGGGGATCACGTGACCCTAGAACATCGCAACTCTCATAAATATGAGTCAAGCGTCCGAATTTTGATCACGTTGACCATGGGGATGCTGCAACAGTCATGTAAAAACGGCCATAAATTACTTTTTTTTCCCCAGTTCTGTTGTAACTTTGAACAATCACTAAATGAAGGGTTGTAAGTTGAGGACTACCTGTAAACCAGCATTAAACTATTAATCATTTTAGCATGGCGCTTGCACCCAGGTCAGAGCATCAGACTAAAAGAGGAAAAAAAGGAAGTGCCAAATTCTTTTAAATTACAATCAGAAGTTTTACCTGAATTTCCCGAGACCCGGAGAACATTTCGGAAAGGCTTTGGAAGACTTGCTGGACAAGATACTTGGAAGCTTGCCAAATATCCTCCTAGAGGCAGGGGAAAAAAATTGCATAAGAACTGTAGACAAGCAATACAACAGGTGTAGCTCTTAGACCAGTGGTTCTTCATCTATGGGTCGGGACCCCATTTGGGGTCGAACGACCATTTCACAGGGGTCGCCAAACAACGCAGTCCACCATTTTTTCCCCCTTTTCCTTAGCTGTGCTACTCCCTTTTATTCTATTGGCTTTTGAAAGCCAATAGAATAGACTCTCTTGAATAGAGTCTAATTCTATTGGCTTTCAAAAGCCAATAGGAATTGTCCAGGCTGTCTCTGCCCTGCTGAGCTCGCCAAAAGTCCCATTCTGCAAACGGTGCTGCACCAGTTGAGTAGTCCTCGACTTACGACCGGTTGAGTAGTCCTCAACTTACGACCAGTTGGGGGTCACAGCATTAAAAAGGTTGAGAACCACTGTCTTAGACTGATAGTGCTTTACAGCCCTCTCTAAGCAGTTTACAGAGTCAGGCTATTGACCCCCCCCCCAACAATCTGGGTCCTCATTTTACCGACCTCGGAAGGATGGAAGGCTGAGTCAACCTTGATCCGGTCAGGATCGAACTTCTGGCAATGAATAGTGAGTTAGCCTGCAATACTGCATTCTAACCACTAGGCCACCCCAGCAGTCTCAAAACCTATCTATCGAATCCAGGAGTGGGGAACTATGGCCCCTTTATGATTTGTGGACTTCAATTCCCAGAATCCCTGAGCCAAACAATATTTCTACATTTCTAAAGCCTTTTGAGAAGACAACAAAAAGAATCAGTTTCCTCCTGTCTTATTTCCCAGTAGCTGTTGTGCAATGACCAACTGGATCTTGACTCTAAAGCAGGGGTGGGGAACCAGGGTCTTTTTATGACTCGTGGACTTCAACTCCCAGAATTCCTAAGCCAACATAGCTCAGCATGGAAACCTCTCCCTGTCCCCTCAGCATGGCTGGCTCAGGACTTCTGGGAGTTGGAGACCACGAGTCAGAAAAGGGCCAAGTTTGAAGAACCCTGCCTTATTGGGTTTGAGAGGAGGAATTAATGACCCCTTCTCCCTTCTGACACAGAGACATAATCCTAGAAGACTCTGCAAAAACAAAGCCATTCTAGGCAACTTTATGGTTATTATCCAGAGGGAGAGAGGAACCCAACACGACCACAATCTGTTCATCGTGGTAGTAATGTGAGGGATTTCTCTAGAAGTCGCTGTTATTCAAAAATATGAATTCTGATCTTGGTTGTATCATTTAGGGCAGGGGGTCCCCAACCCCCGGTCCGTGGATCAGTACTGGGCCACGGCATGCCAGGAACCGGTCTGCACAAACCGGAAAGCCCCATCCGCAAGATGCAGGCAGCACACAAAACCACACACCCTCTGGTCCGCGGAAAAAACTCTCTCCACAAAACCGTCTTTGGTGCCCAAAAGATTGGGGACCTCTGATTTAGGGCTAAACTTTCACTTTGAAAACAATGAATTCTGGGAGTTGAAGTCCACTCATCTTAAAGTTGCTGAGATTGAGAAAGAAGAGAGCAGCTACCTGCAGCCCAGGACCTACTGTAAAGACAGTCTGCCCTCTTAATCTTTGTTTTAGGAAGAAAAAAAAGGAGATAGAAGAATATTCACCTTCGGGAAGTTTTCAATCTCCTTGAGCTGTTTTTCTATCTGGAGACGCCCCCCGTATTGGGTGACTCCATACACAACCGTCATTACTGTCTGCTTCACCACCTTCCGAGTAATGTAGCCGTCCAGGACCTGAGCAATTTTGACTCCATTTGCCGCGTCTTTCTTCCGGGCTATCTCCACCTACATTGGGGAAAGCAATCAGGATAAAAGGGTAGCCAATGGGACAGGCTTCTAAGCAAGCTCTGAGGACCAGGGATTTTGATCTTGCATTGCAAGATCATTGCATTGCAGTTGGTCCCTTGTTAACAGATATTTAATATTAATATAAACCTTATATTAGCATGCATGTGTGTGTGTATATACACACACACATACCATTGTAACTGAATGTTCACTAAATGAACTGTTGTAAGTTGAGTATTACTTGTTATATATTCAGATTGCTTTTTGCTGACAAGAGTTAAAGAACAACAAAGATGATTAGGGGACTGGAGGCTAAAACATATAAGGAACGGTTGCTAGAATTGGGTATGTCTAGTTTAACGAAGAGAAGGACAAGGGGGGACATGATAGCAGTATTCCAATATCTCAGGGGCTGCCATAAAGAAGAGGGAATTAAGCTATTTTCCAAAGCACCTGAAGGCAGGACAAGAAGCAACGGGTGGAAACTAATCAAGGAGAGAAGCAATCCTAGAACTAAGGAGAAACTTCCTGACAGTGAGAACAATTAATCAGTGGAACAGCTTGCCTCCAGAAGCAGTAAATGCTCCAACACTGGAAGTTTTTAAGAAGAGACTGGACAGCCATTTGTCCGAAATGGTGTAGGGTTTCCTGCCCGAGCAGGGGGTTGGACTAGATGACCTCCAAGGTCCCTTCCAACTTTACTACTACTACTATTATTATTATTATTTAAGTGGAAGACTAGTATAGCTATTTCGGACTCATTTGTCCTCATCAGCTAGCCACACCCTTTATGGGATTCGAACCAGGGCAGTCTACATGCTAGGCAATATATTAACCACCAGGCCACCGGCTCTCCTCCCCTCTTTGTCAGCAGAGTCAAGGGAGTATATATATAGAAAGTTTTTCAGACAGAAAAAATGCCAAGGTGCAATCAATCAGACCGGTCTGTCAAAAAAACTTTCTGTATATATACTCCCTTGACTGGCTGACAAAGAGGGGAGGAGAGCCAGCGGCCTGTTGGACCGACCCATCGCAACCCCATGGACAACGTTCCTCCAGGCCTTCCTGTCCTCTACCATCTTCTGGAGTCCATATATTAATATACATACATAATATGTATGTGTATGTGTGTGTGTGTATATATGTATATATATCTATATCTTCAAAATTTTGTGGCTGACAAAGAGTTAAAGGGAGACTAGTGTAGCTATTTCAAGCTCTTTAGCTCTCATCAGCTAATCATACCCCTCTGGGATTTGAACCTGGGCAGCTTTGCATGTTAGGCAGCTGCATTAGCCACAAAATTTTGAATTTACAGTGTCCACAATAGGGACGTCTGCCTGCAAAAAATGCTCTTAGATTGGTGCAAAACGCAGAACAGACTGATTTATCCTATATTTGATAGACCAGATGTTTCATCCAACATCTATCTATCTATCTATCTATCTATCTATCTATCTATCTATCTATCTATCTATCTATCTATCTATCTATCTATAGTAAATATTAATATTAAAGTACTACTCAACTTGTAACAGTTCATTTAGTGAACATTCACTTACAATGTCACTGAAAAAAGTGACTTAGGACCATTTTTCACATTTACAACCGTTGCAGGATGAAAGGGACTTGGAGGTCTTCCAGTCCAACCCCCTGTTCAAGCATTTGCCAACAATTGGACAACTGATGCAATGTGTGAACCACCTAAAAAGAGTCCCAGTTCTACCACCTGTTTCGATTGTGTGCTATGGACATCTGATTCCAGAAAGCTTCGAAAAACTCAAAGGCCATCGCTGTTGCTAATATATTACAACAGCCTGGCATTCTGGAGATAAACCATTCCTGATCATGGAGGTTCCATACAGCTAGTCTTCCTGCAAGATGCCAGTGGATTTACTCCTCTACAATACAAATGGTCCTTGACCTACGACCACAACTGAGCCCAAAAGTTCTGTTAAGTGAGTTTGGCCCCATTTTATGACTTTTCTTGCCGCAGTTGTTAAGTGAATCCCTTCAGTGGTTAAGCTAGTAACCCGGTTGTTAAATGAATCTGGCTTCCCCCATTGACTTTGCTTGTCAGATGGTCGCAAAAGGGGATCACATGACCCCGGGACACTAGCAACCGTCATAAATATAAACCAGTTGCCAAGTGTCTGAATTTTGATCATGTGACCGTGGGGATGCTGGAACGGGTTATGGTCATTAAACGAACAGCTGTCAGTCCGGGACTACCTGTACATACCACTGAGGTTATGCTCTTCAGAAGCTGAATGTAAGTGCAGGATGAAAGAAGGCACTTGTAGACGAAGCTGCTTCTGCTGGCAGCTGTTCAGACCAAGCCGCAGCCTCACCTGTTGAGCCACAGAGGTGTAGACGTCCTGAGGAACTGCTGACGGGATGAGATTGACAGAGAAGGCGCCAAGCACGTCGCGCCCGAGTGCGGCGTAGTGCTGAAGCCCATTGCATGAACCATCCTGGAAAGAGAAAAAGGCCACCAGAGAGAATTAGCCAGTGCCAGTAATGTCATGGTTCCGACAGATGAAACCCTTCAAAGAACTTTGAGGCATTGTTTAACCTTAAAGAATCTTTATTAGAGATTCTAGAGATTCAGCACTAACATAATTGAAGCCAAAAACTAAATTCCCCTCCCCTGAGCACATAGTATCAAAGCACAATTCCCTCCTCCAATTAACAGTCATCAATCACATTCCCCAATTAGCTTGAAATGCAGGCTTTCCCTCCAGTTCTCCAGCCTGGCCAATTCTTATCATCTCTTATTTCAACGACCTTGGTTCTCACTCTAGGGTCCAGTATTGTTATGTCTAGCTAAACTCTTATGCACATTCCTCCCCCTAGCATCATCTAACTCTAACTCTAAAAGTAAAACATAAGAAGAAAATGGTTGCATCTCCAACTGTTGTCAAAGCAAAAACATCCGATGTTCGCAGCGTTGACAGGTAATTTGGAAACAACCGAAGACTTTTAACAAAGTGGCCTCTTCACTCCCCACCCAAAAGCATCCTGACTGGAGTCACAAATTATACTACATATTAGCTTGAATCACATAACCCTGCAAGTTCTACTGTGGCCCCTGGGGTCTGCAAATAATGGTTTATGGTTATTAATAATGATTATGGTAATCATTATAATTAAATAAAATTACCCATAATCATGTATAATTAGCATTATTTATATATTAAGCTTGTATGCCACCCATAACTGCTGTCATCAATCAGCAAGGTCATCTTTGACATGGTACCTTTGATCACGTCCTTTAGTGACAGAGTTCCTGGTCCCAAATAGGGTCAGTAAGCGAGGACTATCTGTATTGCGCCATTGAAAAGTGTATTAATTGCAATCTACTGTGTAAGTCTCATTGTCCACCAGTCTATGCAACGTTGTGGGGGGACACATCACCCTAGTACACAAAAACACCTTTTTGTGGATATCGGATTCATTTAATGACAGTGGTGTTCACTTATTGACCGCAACATTTGTTTAACGACGGGCACACAAGAGGTAATAAACTCAAGCATGATCACAGGGTGACCCGCTTAACAACTGGCGTGACTTCCCGGCCCATCTACTGTTGTAAGTCAAGGACTACTTGTACTTTAATTACATCTCCTGTAGTCCAAGCCATCAGGAATCTGGAACTGAATAATTAATATTTTAATAAATAAATAAAGACCACCCAGGGTCACCCCTGGTAGGCGAGATAAGTGGCAAACAAATTTAATAAATAAAAACAAAGAAATCAGGGTGCTGCCTCAAAGCCTCATGAGGTTCACACATCCCTCGCCCGCCCCCCCTATATAAAACAAAGCGGAAAGGACCTCCAAACGCCATAAGGCTCTACCTGATGAACAGGAAAATGGGAGACGTATTCAGCAGGATTGGGAGACCGAACAGCCTTTGCGATCTCCATGCAACACGCCAAAACTTGCCACGGCTCATCGGTGTCCATCCACCACCTCTTGCCCTGCACCGGAGGAAAGAAAACCAAATTTAAAATATGACTCCAGGGAAGAATCAAGCACGTACTAGCCACTAGACTTCAAGGAAAACCTGCCTCCAGAAGCTGTGAATGCGCCAACACTGGAAGTTTTTAAGAGACTGGACAGCCATTTGTCTGAAATGGTATAGGGTTTCCTGCCTGAGCAGGGGGTTGGACTAGATGACCTCCAAGGTCCCTTCCAACTTCATTATTATTATTATTATTATTATTATGGATCATCGCACAGTCAGCCAGATATTCAGACTGGATTTGGCATTTTGTCTACCTATCGAGTCCTTACCCAGGACCTGGGATTGGCAGATGTGGATGTTTGATGGTATTACAGATATCGTCGCAGGATGGAAGCAGTTCCTAATAAGGCCGCCTTTTGCAATTGACTAATAGCAAATTTGTCAATGCCAATGGTGTTCAAGTGGTGCTCCAGTTGTTTTGGGATTGCACCCAAGGAGCCTATTACTATTGGTACTACCCTTGCTTGCTTTTGCCACAATCTTTCTATTTCTATTTGTAATTATTATTATTATTATTATTATTATTATTATTATTATGGATCATCGCACAGTCAGCCAGATGTTCAGACTGGATTTGGTATTTTGTCTACCTATCGAGTCCTTACCCAGGACCTGGGATAGGCAGATTTGGATGTTTGATGGTATTACAGATATCGTCGCAGGATGGAAGCAGTTCCTAGTAAGGCCGCCTTTTGCAATTGACTAATAGCGAATTTGTCAATGCCAATGGTGTTCAAGTGGTGCTCCACTTGTTCTGGGATTGCACCCAAGGCGCCTATTACTATTGGTACTACCCTTGTTGTTGTTGTTATTATTATTATTATTCATTAGACGTGAACCTTAGTCAACTAAACATTCAAATTGACTGGCGCGGAGTTGCTGCCAGCATCCTAGGTATCAACCAGGTATCTCCTTAAAATATAAGATGTTCCGAGTAGCGCAGTTTTTTGTAACATTGCTGGAGTTATTGTAGGAAGCTGCAGTTTTTTGAAGTATTTTGCAAAGTTTTTGGACATAGTTCCCAGTGCTCCGATGACAATGGGTATCACTGTTACACGTTTCATCCATAATCGCGGAGTTTCGATGGCCAGGTTGTGATATTTCGTCATTTTTTCCAGTTCTTTTTCTTCGACTCTGGCATCTCCTGGTACAGCGATATCAATCAGCTGTACGCTTCGGTTCTCTACAACTGCAATATCTGGTATGTTGTGTTCCGAATGGCGATCTATCTGTATTCGAAAGTCCCACCAGATCTTCACCCTCTCATTCTCAACAACTTTTTCCACCCTATGTTCCCACAACGTTTTGGACACAGGCAAGTCTATTATTATTATTATTATTATCACTACTACTACTACTACTACTACTATAAAGAAGCTGGAAAATGGCAATGGAAAAGCAACAGGGCATCACATCATCTCCACCACCACCATCCACCATTGACTGACAAGATTCCAGAAAGGCCGATGGGCCGTTTACACTATAATAATAGTAATAATAATAATAATAATAATAATAATAATAATAATAATAATAATAATAATAATAATAATAATTCTGGCTGCACAAGACCAAGCCTTAAGGACAAATGCATATAAAGTCAAAATTGAGAAGACAGCAACAGACAGTAAGTGCCGCCTATGCAAAGAAGCTGAAGAAACAATGGACCACCTGGTAAGCTGTTGCAAGAAGATTGCACAGACTGACTACAAGCAGCGGCATGACAAAGTAGCAACAATGGTGCATTAGAAGATCTGCAAAAAATATCATTTGCCTGTAAGCAAAAACTGGTGGGATCATAAAATAGAGAAAGTCATAGAAAATGATAAAATTAAACTGCTCCGGGACTTCAGAATTCAAACAGACAAGCACCTGCAACATAACACCCCAGACTTAACAATTGTCGATAAGAAAGACAAAAAAGTCTGGATACGGACGTGTCAGTGCCTGGAGACAGCAGAATAGAAGAGAAAGTACTGGAGAAGATAACAAAATACAAAGACCTACAAATAGAAATAGAAAGACTGTGGCAAAAGCAAGCAAGGGTAGTACCAATAGTCATAGGCTCCTTGGGTGCAATCCCAAAACAACTGGAGCACCACTTGAACACCATTGGCATTGACAAATTCGCTATTAGTCAATTGCAAAAGGCGGCCTTATTAGGAACTGCTTCCATCCTGCGACGATATCTGTAATACCATCAAACATCCACATCTGCCTATCCCAGGTCCTGGGTAAGGACTCGATAGGTAGACAAAATGCCAAATCCAGTCTGAACATCTGGCTGACTGTGCGATCATCAATAATAATAAAAAGAAATTCATATGCGTCAGAATAAACTACAGGTAATCCTCAACTTTACCACAATTGAGTCCAAAATATCTGTTGCTAAGCAAAGCAGGTGTTACGCCCCATTTTATATATTTTTTTTCCACTGCAGGTAAGTGAATCATGCGGTCGTTAAGCGAATCTGCCTTCCCTTGTTGATTTTGCTTGTCCAGAAGCTGGCTGGGAGGGTTACAGATGGTGATCACATGACCTCAGGCAGGACAACCGTCATAAATACAGGCCAGCTGTCAAGTGCCTGAATTTTAATCACGTGACCATGAGGAGGCTGCAACGGTCGTTAAGTGTGAAAAATGGTCCTAGGTTACTTTTTCAGTGACACTGTAACTTCAAACTGTCACTAAAAGAATGGTTGTAAGTTGAGGACTACCTACATCAGGATTTCTCAATCGTGGCAACCTGAAGGTGTGTGGACTTCCAATTCCCAGAATTCCTCAGGCTGCGTATGAAGGCCACACCTTTTAAAGAATACTGGCTGGAGAATTCTGGGAATTGAAGTCCACACAGCTTCAAGCTGTGAAGTTTGAGAAACATTATAACAGGGGTCTTCAAACTTGGGCAACTTTAAGACTTGTAGACTTCAACTCTCAGAATTCCTCAGCGAGAAGATAAGATAAGAGAGGAAGGAAGGAAGGAAGGAAGGAAGGAAGGAAGGGAGGGAAGGGAGGGGGGAGGAGAGAAGAGAGGGAGGGAGGGAGGGAGGGAGGGGAGAGAGGTAAGGAAGAAAGGAAGGAAGGAAGGAAGGAAGGAAGGAAGGGAGGGAGGGAGGGAGGGAGGGAGGGGAAGGGAGAGGAGAAAGGGAGGTAAGGAAGGAAGGGGAGAGAAGAGAAGAGAAAGAAAGAGAGGGAAGGGAGGGGAGACGAGAGGAGAGGAGAGAAGAGAAGAGAGAAGGAAGGGAGGAAGGGGGAAGGGAGGAGAGGGAAGAGGAGAGAGGAGAGGTAGCTGGTAGGGAAGGAAGGAAGGAAGAAAGGAAGGAAGGAAAATCAAAGGAACTGCCTCCAAAAACAAACTGCCTCCAAAAACAAGCAAACAAAATGTTACAATCCAAGTTGTGCTTACATAGCCTTACCACGGCCATCTTTCCCCATTCGCTACCGACCTTCCTCTCTACACATGTGCACTAAGGGCCCCCAACCAGCCACAAGCTGCCCATCCTGTAACCCACAAGGGGCCCAAGGCGGCCGATGCTTTCCCAAAACCCGGCACCTCCACCGGATGTACCGTTAATGGGTTGTCTGCCGAATCCAAGATGTCCGGCATGATCCGAATGGCGTAGGCCAACCTCTCCCTCAGAGACTGCTTCTTCTTCAGCCCAGTCAGGTTGACCAGATGGATCTGCAGCCATTTCAGGCCGTATGGTCCAAGGGGCTTTCCTTCCGCAAAGAGGAGAATCCCCCGCGTGAAGTCACCCCCCAGGTGGTTGAAGTGAGGAGGGCACGGGTAGGTCCTCCCGCGGAAATCCAGATTGTGGGGGAACCAGAAAGCCTCGTCTTTCAGGTGCTTGGCGATGGAGAGCTTGTAGAGCATGTCCATCCGCAGGCTGTAGGTCTCCCTGGCCTTCTTACGGTACTGGGACATCTTCCATTTCAGAGCCATCTTGGACATGGGCTCGCTCTTGGCCAGCTGCTTGGCAAGCTCTTGGGCCTCCCAAGATGGCGGCGGAGGGATGTCCAGTTTCTCGTCGCCTTTGTCGTTGAAGATGGAGATGACCACGTCCAAGACGGGCTGGTTGACTTTCCAAGGGCAGTTGCCCAGAAAGTTCAGCGCATCCAGGACCAAGCAGAGGTGGTCGTGAGGGCACTCGTCTAAGAGAAGCTCGTGCTGGACCACCCCGTCTTGGCATCGCATCAGCTTGACCGGAGAGAGAGTATAGGCCCCGAAGTGGGAAGAGACCCAGGGCACGGGGGGACATTGCATGGGGAGGATAAAAGAGTCGAAGGTGAGGGTCGTCTCCACAGCCTCCTGGAGAAGCCGGATCAGGATAGAGTGAGGTTTAACGAAACCGATCTGCAAAAGGAAAAGAAAGAGGATTTTTAAAATACAGAAGGAAAAAAAAACCCACAAAAAAACAGCTATCATTCCCAGGTCAGTGACCGAATTTGGATCACATGGGATGCTGCAACGGTGGTTAAGGGTGAAAACCGGTCAAAAAAGTCCAGGGCTTTTCAATCAGTGATACGGGTACCACTTGTAGTACATTGGCAGCTGGCAGGTGATACGCGACCATCCTAGAAAAGTGGTAGTGGGGGAGGGGAATGAGCTGAACCGGTGGCAGCACCACACAAGCCTGAGTGAGAGACGGCTGGAGCTGCAGGGCTGTCAGGGCTCAGCGGAAGCGCCAGGATCAGTGCCGCTTTCAAGCTGATTGGCGCTTCTTTGGGGCTGTCAGGGCTCAGTGGGAAGTGCCAGGATCAGTGCCAGACTCCAGCTGGAGCTCAGCACTGATCCTGGCACTTCCGCTGAGCCCAGAAGAAGCGCCGATCAGCTGGAATGATGCAGCATCTCCAGGGTCTTGTGATTTACATTCAGATGCTTGGCAACCAATTCATATTTATGATGGTCACAGTGTCCCAGAGTCATGTGAAGTGACCAAAAAAGTGGCTGCAACCACCCAGCAGACAGAGGGGGGGGGAATAAAAAACAAACACCCCCCCACCCCACCCCCACTGGCAATCCTCAACAGAAATGATCACAACAATGAAAACCTCAGACAGGAGGAAGAGCACTGCCGGGTGAGCAGGGGGGGCACTTTTTCAGTGCTACTGTAACTTCAAACAGTCACTAAGCGAACTGTTGTAAGTCGAGGACTACCTGTACTTTATCACTTTTTCCTTTTTTTTTTTTTTGGTCATCAAGTTTTTGACCCCTTGCTAGGCGACTGGTGGTACTCGGACCTTGCCACATCCTAAAAGTGGTACAATGGGTGAAAAGGTTGAAAAGCCCTGCTATAAGTCACTTTTTTTTTTCACCGCCGTTTTAACTGTGAACGGTCACTGAACAAGTGGTTGTAAGTCAAGGACGACCTCTAAAAAAGCATGTTACCGTTTCGGGCTATCCTCGGCCCTGTTACAAAGGAAAGGCAGGCGATCTTTGGCAAATTCGCCAGCTTCACAGAAATCCTTTACAGCAGAGTTGCCCCAACTTTCTGGGTGGGCGGCCTGGAAAGGGAGGGGCAGGCGCCTTTACGCACACGTGCGCACACATGAATGGGGCCATGAGTGTGCGTGCCGTAAATGGGGCCGCGAGCGCACGTGCTGCAAACGGGGCTACAGGTGCCCGTGCGACACTCACGGCGACACTAATGTGAGCACAGGGGCATGGCTGCGCGTATCCATGCATGCACACTGACCAGTCAGTCATGCAGCCACAGCCCACAGGTTGGGGACCCCTACTTTACTGAGTTGGAGGGGACCTTGGAGGTCTTCTAGTCCAGGGGTCCCAAACCCCCGGTCCGTGGACCAGTACTGGTCCGCGGCATGCCAGCAACCGTCCGCACAAACAAGCAAAGCCCCATTTGCAGGATGCAGGCAGCACACAAAACCACGCATCCTCCGGTCTGCGGAAAACCCTCTCTCCACGGAACCAGTCCCTGGTGCCCCAAAGGTTGGGGACCTCTGTTCTAGTCCAACGCCCAGCTCAAGTAGGAGACCCTATACCAGGGGTAGGCAACCTTGGCTCTTTTATGACTCGTGAACTTCAACTCCCAGAATTCCTGAGCCAGCCATGCTGAGGGGACAGGGAGAGGTTTCCAAGCTGAGCCATTGTCATGGTTCCGAAAAGAAGCAGCTTTTCAAAGAACTTTGAGGCTTATTCCTCTAAAAGAATCTTTTTATTATTCTGCATAGCTTCAGCACTAACAAAGTTAAGCCAAAAACTGAATCCTCCCTCCCCCAAACACCCATAACAAAGCATAACTCACTCCTTCATTTTACAGTCATCAATCACATTCTCCAATTAATGTGAAGTGTGAAGTGCCCCTCCCGTTGCAACTGACCTTGGCCACACTGTGCTCAGACATTGTTATGGTTAACTAGCATATTTTCCCATCCACTAGACTATTATTATCTGCTTTAACTCTAGAAGTGCTATACAGGCTAAATAAAACAGGTTTGCTTCTTCATATATGGCAACCAAGAACATCCAATGTTAGCAGTCTTGACAGCCATGCTGGCTCAGGAATTCTGGGAGTTGTAGTCCACGAGTCATAAAAGAATCAAGGTTGCCTACCCATGCCCTACACCAGTGGTTCTCAACCTTTTTAATGCCGCGACCCCCAACTGGTCGTAAGTCGAGGACTAAACTGGTCGTAAGTCGAGGACTAAACTGGTCAAAAGTCAAGGACTACCCAACCGGTCGTAAGTCGAGGACTTTCCCTGCCCGGGAGCACCGCGTATGCATGGTGCCGTCCCCTGCGCCAGCCGAGGCGTAGCTGGCAAGCGGCAGAGACGGAGCCGGCCGATCACCGGCTGGGCCACCAGCTGGCCCAGCCCCAGGGAGGTAAGGCACCCACCGGAAAAGGGGAAAAAAATGGCGGACAGCCTTGCTTGGCGACCCCCGTGAAATGGTCGATCGACCCCAAATGGGGTCGCGACCCATAGGTTGAGAACCCCTGCCCTATACCATGTCAGACAAATGGCTGTCCAGTCTCTTTTTGAAAGCCTCCAGTGATGGAGCGCCTGCAACTTCTCAGGGGAAGCCTTTCCATTGGTTAATTGTCCTGTCTGTCAGGAAAATTCCTCCTTAGTTCCAGGTTGCTTCTCTCCTTGATCAGTTTCCACCCATCGCTTCTTGCCCTGCCTTCAGGGGCTTTGGAGAACAGGCTGACCCCCATCTTTGGGGCAGCCCCTTAAGGTATTGCAGTGTTTCCCAAACTTGACAATTTTAAGGCATGTGGACTTCAACTCCCAGAATTCCACAGCCAGCAACGCTGGCTGTGGAATTCTGGGAGTTGAAGTCCTCATGCCTTAAAATTGTCAAGTTTGGGAAACACTGAGGTATTGGAAGACGGCTATCATGTCACACACACCCCCAGCCCTTCTTTCCACCAGACTAGACTAAGCGAGCAAAGGCTCACTCAGGATTTCGCTCACCTGCTTGGTTCCGCGGAAAGAATAGACGTGGTACAGAACGGGAATGACAGCGTCCTTGGGGAGCAAAGGCAGCAGGCTGTGGTCGAGCTTGAGAGTTTGGACCATCAGTTCGATCAGCTGAAAACCCAGCTGAATCAACAGGCTTGGGGGCCAAACGACTTGCTTGGATATCAAGGAAGGGCTATAGCCCACCTCCTCTCTCAGCTTCTCCCAATATTCCCGTGGCAAAAAATTATTCACCTGCAGAGGCAAGGAATTGGGTGAAGTTTACCTTCCGGAGGCCGAAAGCAATAGCCCATAATAGACCAGGGGTCTTCAAACTTGGCCCTTTTATGACTTGCGGACTTCAACTCCCAGAATTCCTCAAGTCAGCGTGCCTGGCTGGGGAATTCTGGGAGTTGAAGTCTCCCCATCTTAAAGCTGCCACCGTTGAGAAACATTTGAGTTAGATCAGGGGGGGTCTTCAAACGTGGCCCTTTTATGACTTGTGGACTTCAACTCCCAGAATTCCTCAGCCGGCGTGCCTGTCTGAGGAATTCTGGGAATTGATGTCTACAAGTCATAAAAGGGCCACGTTTGAAGACCCCTGCCTTAGACTTACGTACCTCTTCACAGTGCTTCACAGCCCTCTTTAAGCGGATTAGAGAGTCAGCCTATTGGCCCCCAACCATCGGGGTCCTCATTTTACCCACCTAGGAAGGATGGAAGGACGAATCCACCTTGAACTGGTCAGGATCGAACTCCTGGCTGTGAACAGACTTAGCCAGCAATGCTGCACTTTTAACTACTGCGCCACCATGGCTCTCTCTTCCCAACCTTGTTTGGATTCACAGGCTGCATTGCTTACTCAGCTTGCTGGAGATGGTTGACGGGATAACAAGACTTCACCCTTGATGCCATCCGTCTCCTTGGTCTGACCTCTTATGCCAGGGGTCTTTAAACTTGGCCACTTTAAGACTTGTGGACTTCAACTCCCAGAATTCTGGGAGTTGAAGTCCACAAGTCTTAAAGTGGCCAAGTTTGAAGATCGCCACCCATATTATGCAATATAAGGAGTCCCTGCGGATTTTACTCCACTTGTCGTTGCTGACTCTATGGACCATCTTTGTTTCAAGGTCACTGAGCCAGCACTGCCCAAAAACATTTCCACGGTCATGTGGCCAGCATGACATCACAGAGCACTGTTGCCTCCCCGCCCGACTGGCACCTATTTATCTAGTCACATTTGCATGCTTTCAAACTGCTAAGTTGGCAGTTTACCAACTGGAAGGGCTTGGTTAAAACGTTAACCTCTAAAGCAGTGGTGGCGAACCTATGGCACGGGTGCCAGAGGCGGCACTCGGAGCCCTCTCTGTGGGCACACGTGCCGTTGCCCCAGCCTCGCCTCTCCCCGTGACCCCTTCCTCACCAGCAGCCCCCCTGGAGGAGAGTCGCAACCGAGCATGTCCCATGCGGATCACGCTGCCTGGCAGCCAGGCAGCGTAGACAAGACTCTGCCCTCACGCCCCGTCGTGCACAGTTGATGCTGCGGGGCACGGGGAGAGGGCATGGCTGCCATGGCGCTGCTGGGCTGCCTGGGCCATCTGCGGCGGGTCCTGGAGGCGGTGAGTGGCCCTGCAGGCAGGCGAGGCGGGGCTGGAGTGGGGGCCAGTTTTTGGGCACTCAGTCTCTAAAAGGTTTGCCATCACTACTCTAAAACAACTTGAAATACCTGTCTAGTTTTCGTAGGTTAGAAATATCAATTTTGTAATTTACGTTAAACCAGTGGTTCTCAACCTTTCTAATGCCGCGACCCCATAATACAGTTCCCCATGTTGTGGTGACCCCCAACCACTTATACATCACCGGGTGCCAGGGGCGTGGCCAAAGAAAAGGGGAAAAAATGGCGGACAGCCTTGTTTGGCGACCCCTGTGAAATGGTCGTTCGACCCCAAATGGGGTCCCGACCCACAGGTTGAGAACCACTGCGTTAAACGGTTTAGTTTACATTACATTGCCAGTTTTCTAATCACTAGTGCTTTATTTCTTGTTGAGGAGTATTCAGGATTTTTTTTATTTTTTATTTAAAACAACTAACAGGTTCCATGAGCTGAAAAAGATTGAAAACATCTCCTTAAGGTCAACCCTAGGAAGGAATTCTGAAGAATCTAGTTTTAGCCCAATATAGCCCTGAGTTGATGGAACCCCAAAAAATCCTGGCCAATCAAGAAACTAGAGATGGTCTAGTTCAGGGGTAGTCAACCTTGGCTCTTTTAGGATTCGTGGACTTCAACTCTCAGAATTCCTGAGCCAGCCATGCTGAGGGGACAGGGAGAGGTTTCCAAGCTGAACCATGCTGGCTCAGGAATTCTGGGAGTTGAAGTCCACGAGTCATAAAAGAGCCAAGGTTGCCAAACTATGGTCTAGTTAAAGGTCACCTAAGGCAATTAAAGTTAGGTACCTGATTATCTCTGGCCAAAAGCTGGACATAGCTATCATAGGTCTTCTCAAAATTTTCCTCCGAAATGGTGCAGTTTTTTCTAACAATAGTGTATTTATTGTAGATTCTAGTACCCAGATCCTTGGCTAAGATGCTGACGCATTCCCCAAGGGCTGGCAGGCTGAAAACCGTCTGAAAAGAAAACAAAGATTTGTTTAACTTAAGAGACTCAAGATATGACCGGTAGCAATTTTAATTGAAAAAAAAAAAAAGTTAGAGGCATTGTTCTATTTTTGTTTCAGTTTTACTTTATTAGTTAGCGTTTTTATTATTTAGCTATGGCAATAGCACTTAGACTTATATACCGCTTCATAACGCTTTACAGCCCTCTCTAAGTAGTTTACAGAGTCGGCATATTGTCCCCAACAATCTGGGTCCTCATTTTACAGACCTCGGAAGGATGGAAAGCTCAGCCGCCCTTGAGCCAGTCAGGATCGAACTGCTGGCAGTGGGCAGAGTTAGCCTGCAGTACTGCATTCTTACTACTGTGCCTCACTCACTCACTCACTCACTCATTCATTTTTCATTCATTCATTCATTCATTCATTCATTCATTCATTCATTCATTTTCCATAGCCACCCAACTCAACCAAAGCAATTAAAGCCAATTTAAAACAAACATTCTGAGAGAGAAAGCAATGTGGTATGTACTTTTGAGTGATGAATTAACCTGTTGTTCATGATAATTAACTATATCTATTATTGTTAGTTAAATACAGGTACCCAGACATTATGCTGTTTGCATAATGCATTGAAAATGTTATTGGGAAAAACCCCAACCCCAACCCAAACCCTAACCCTAATCCCGACCGTACCTTACTCCTAACCCTATAAAAACTAATAAAATCTATACCAAAAAACCCATTAAAACATTAAAAAACAATAAATTACTGGATGACTTATTACTCAAATGCAGGCTTACCCTAAATCAGTGGTGGCGAACCTATGGCACGTGTGCCAGAGGTGGCACTCAGAGCCCTCTCTGTGGGCACGCATGCCACCGTCGCCAGCAGCTTGCACAGGTCCATTAGGCTGCTGCCACCGCTGCCCAGAGCGGCAGCCCCACCCAGCACAAAGGAGGTGAAGCAGCCAGCTAGCAAGATCGAGTAGAAGTGGTAGAGCACGCCCACACCCAGCATGCCAAAGGCCACCCCGAGCAAGGAAAGCTGGATCCCCATCGGCGCCATGGCCCCCCAGTCCCAGCTAGGATGGCATGCCTCCCCCCATCTATGTTGGGCCTCCTGCCCATCGCCCCACCTGCCAGAGACCCCCTGGATCTCCCCCAACCCTGCCTGGCCCCCACAGGCATCCCCCCCATGAGCAACATCGAGGTGGCCATGCCCACCCCAGCCACGCCCACCCAGTCTGCCGTGACAACCGCAGCCATGCCCACTGAGGGGCCACGCCCCCAAGGCCCCCCCTAAGGGCACCACAGTGCTGATGCGGCCTTGGCACTTTGCAATAAATAAGTGGGTTTGGGGTTATGGTTTGGGCACTCAGTCTCTAAAACAGACATGTCAAACACAAGGCCCGGGGGCCGAATGCGGCCCGCAAAGTGGTTTCATGTGACCCGCGAAGCCATCCTGGAAACAGTGAGGGAACGGCCCCCTCTGCCTTGGCCCTGGCCCAGGCTGGCCAGGAGCCAATGTACAATTTTGTGGTGGCCATCTATGCTGAAACGCATTCAGTCTTAGCTCCATAAGCCCCGCCCCTGCATGGCCTGAGAGGAACAGTGAGGCTCCTCCAGTGGACCGTGCCTTGGCACTTGCTCTGGTCCCCTCCCCCTTCTGCCAGAGACCCTCAGATCTGTCCCACTCCTGCCCAGGCCCCCACAGGCACCCTTGACGTGAATGATGTAGAGCTGGCCACACCCACCCGGCAGCCCACACCCACTCCATGCCCACCCAGTAGGCCGCACCCACCCTGGCCACACCCACCCGGCCCCCTGAGGGCAACCACAATACTGATGCGGCCCTCAATGAAATTGAGTTTGACACCCCTGTTCTAAAAGGTTCACCATCACTGCCCTAAATTAACTGAAATTCCTGTTTACAGTAAGGATAGAAACCAAAGGGGGGGGGGGGGAGAGACAGTATTACCTCTACAGGGAGCTCGGCCCAGCGGTCCAGCATTCCTCCAGATCAGTGTTTCTCAACCTTGACAATTTTAAGGCATATGGACTTCAACTCCCAGAATTCCACAGCCAGCATTGCTGGCTGTGGAATTCTGGGAGTTGAAGTCCACATGCCTTAAAATTGTCAAGATTGAGAAACGCTGCTCCAGATAAACAGCCCAACCATCTCTCTTTGCACAAGGGTAGAAGTCACAAAGGGGCAACTAATCCAACTTATGCAAGACCGCTCCCACCAACACTCAGAAGCAGCAAATCACTGTGTATATATATATATATAATATATATATAGATATATATATATATATATATATATATATATATATATATATATATATATAAAAACAAAGAGCAAACTCCACTCACTGCTAGCACTGATGATATTACCTAGTTGGGTCATGAAACGTCTGCAAGGAAACCACCCAGCTCAGAGATCACCGAGGATCCCGCTGTTCAACCCCGAGTTACAAATAGTCACTCCTCTCCACTTACCTGCATCATCAGATCTACGTATTCCTCGTTGGTCAGCACGCAAAGAAAGGGGTACAGGTCTAGTTTGGAGGTGCGCCAAATGTTCTCTTGCTTCTGGAGCTTCGTCAGGTTGCGAAGCAAAGCGGCTTCCCAGTGAGAACGGATCTTGCTCAAAATTTCTCGCTGTGGAAAGGAATGGAACAGATTGTTAACGATATAGGTAGTTCTTTGATTATTGGCTACAATTGGGACCGAAATTTTGCTTGCTAAAAGTGATGCGGTCACGAAGTGAGTGCTCCAGTGACTGTACTCGATTTTTCCCATGGTCATTAAGGGAATCACTGCAGTTTCTCCGATAGCCCCTTGGGAAAATTAATTGCCAATCCCTGCATTAATTGCCACTCTGTAGCTGTTAATTTGATTTGATCTGCTACCAAAACCTCAGCACTTGCTGCTCCCATGCCACAGCTGTTGTAGATCTACAACAGCGTTTCTCAGCTGTGGCGACTTGAAGATAGGTGGACTTCAACTTGGAGAGGTTGAGAAGCGCCGCCTTAGAAATAGAACAGAATATCAGAGTTGGAAGGAACCTTGGAGGTCCTCTAGTCCAACCCCGCTTTGGCAGGATACCCTAAACCAGGGGTCGCCAACTTTTCTGGGCTGGAGGCCCACTGGCAAAGGGAGGGACAGGCACCTTTATGTGCGCATGCGCAAACATGGCTGCGTGCACACGAATGGGGCTGAGCATGCGCGCTCTGCAAATGGGGTTGCTAGTGCCGGTACGCAGCTCAGCTGGTGGCGGCGCCAGGGCAGGGGGTGAGCGCACACACATGCGCGCATGCGCTGGCCAGGCACTCATGTGGCCCCGGTGGCCAAGAGGCCACAGCCCAGTAGTGGGCCGTGGCCCATAAGTTGGGGACCTCTGCCCTAAACCATTTCAGACAAATGACTGTCCAGTCTCTTCTTAAAAAACCCCCTAGTGATGGAGCACCCACAACTTCTGGAGGAAGGTAGTTCCACTGGTTAATTGTTCTCACTGTCAGGAAGTTTCTCCTTAGTTCTAGGTTGCTTCTCTCCTTGGTTAGTTTCCATCCGTTGCTTCTTGCCTTCAGGTGTTTTGGGGCAGCCCCTTAAGAAGACTGCTATCATGTCACCCCAAGTCCTTTTTTCCACTAGACCAGATGTCTCCAACCTTTTGGGCGCCAGGGACTGGCTCCATGGAGAGAGGTTTTTCCATAGACTGAAGGGTGCGTGGTTTTGTGTGCTGCCTGCATCCCATAGATGGGACTTGGCTTGTTGTGCGGACTGGTTGCGGGCATGCCACGGCCCAATACCTATCCATAGACCGGGGAGGTTGAGAATCCCTGCACTAAACTAGACTAAGTGAGTACAGGTTTCCCAGGGTTTTAGACATATCCAACAAAGATGATTAGGGGACTGGGGGCTAAAACATATGAGGAACGGTTGCTGGAATTGGGTATGTCTAGTTTAATGAAGAGAAGGACGTGGGGGGACATGATAGCAGCCTTCCAATATCTCAGGGGCTGCCCCAAAGAAGAGAGAGTCAAGCTATTCTCCAAAGCGCCTGAAGGCAGGAAAAGAAGCAACGGATGGAAACTAATCAAGGAGAGAAGCAACCTAGAACTAAGGAGAAACTTCCTGACAGTTAGAACAATTAACCAGTGGAACAACCTGCCTCCAGAAGCGGTGAATGCTCCAACACTGGAAGTTTTCAAGAAGAGACTGGACAACCATTTGTCCGAAATGGTATAGGGTTTCCTGCCTGAGCAGGGGGCTGGACTAGATGACCTCCAAGGTCCCTTCCAACTTTATCATCATCATCATCATCATCATCACCATCAAATCCTGCAACCATTCTTCACGTACTAGTCCTCAATTTACGATTGGCCGCTTAGCGACTGTACCCGAGGGCTACTTACAACCCAAATTTGAAATTCCGAAGGCTAGAAAAGTGTGCAGTGGCTATGTGACCACATTTTGGGCGCTTGGCAACCAGGTCACATTTACGACTGTTTAGAGCGTCCCTCAGTCACCTGACTGCATTTTACAATGGCTTTGCCAAAAGCCGGCATTCATTCTCAGTTTTTGGCAAAACCGTGCCCATAGCGAACCGCTGGTTTGCTTAACGGCTGCCAGAAAAAAAAAAAAAGTCGAAAAACATTGGGTGGGTCACACGACCGCACCATTTTACAACAATCACAAATTATGACCATGAAAGGCAAATTCCGTTCCGGTCGTAACTCGAGGATTTCCTGTTTTTCATCCCTTCTCTTTCCATTCCGGCCGGAAACGCAACCCTTTCCTCAAAGAATTAATTTTACCGCTTTGATAGTTGTAGCCGTGATCGGTTTGGTGGCTTCCACCGAATCAACCGTGACCCTGTCGGAAGTCTCCATCTTGTACTGTTTTCGGAATCGCTGCTTCAGCTCTTCTACAGTGAAATTGAGCTTGGTGTAAGAAACGGGCGTCTTCTAAGAGGGAAGAAAAGAGGGGGGAAAAAATCCATGACGATGTCCCGGGGATATCAGTAATCCTTGACTTATGACCAATTGCTTAGCAAGTGTTTGAAGTTCCGACAGACCTACCTGGGGGAAGACAAGATTGTCCTCGACTTACAACCGTATGTTTAGTGACCGTTCGAAGTTACAACGGCACTGAGAAAAGTGACTTAGGACCGCCTTTCACACTTACGACCGTTGCCGCCTCCCCCCGTGGTTGTGTGATCAAAATTCGGTAAGAATTAAAAGATGAGAGGGTTAGATTTATGAAATGGAATATTGAAAGATTAAATCCATTTTTAATTATGGTTAAAAAAAGAACGAATTTTTTTTTTGAAATAAATATGTGTTAGCTCATAGGAAATAGAGATTTTAAGTAGCATACTACCTTTTTATTTTATTTTATTTATTTATTCTTCTTTTTTCTCTTTTTAGTCTTATTTATTCCTCAAGAAAGGTAAAAGTATTGGGTTGGCTTACATGAGAAAAAAAATAGATTTAAATATTTAAATGTAATTAACTTTGAGAAAATCTTAACCAGTAAAAATGTTTAGATTAGAACATGATGGGAAAAACAAATGTAAACAAGAACTGTAAACAGGAGATATGACGAGACAACCAGAATGAGTAGATTAGCAAAGGAATATTATATTGATGTGATTATTACTTGTAGAAATATTAGAAACCTTTTACGCTTCATTATCATTCATTAAAACAACAAGAACTGTATTAACATAGTATGTTTAAGTGTGTGTCATGTATGTGTTTCACTTTGAGAGCGGGCAACTAGATCTCATTTTTGATGTATGCCACTGTGCCCACAGTATAAAAATGACAATAAAGGTAATCTTATCTTATCTTATTAACTTAAGGTTGGCAAAAGAGAACATTATGGGGAAAAGAGGAAATCAAGCGAAGTTATCATGTGGATTACAGATTATAGACACTAACGGTTAGTGAATGTTTTTTAAATGTAAACCCAGACAACGCACTGTTTACCGAATATGAAGGTGATTATGTTAAAATATTAATAAAACATATTTTTTTAAAAAAATTTGGATGCTTGGCAACTGACTCATATTTATGACGGTTGCAGTGTTCCGGGGTCATGGGGATCCTCTTTTGCAACCTTCTGACAGCAAAATCAATGGAGAAGCCATTGATCACACTTTGGGCACTTGGCAACTGGGCTCCATGTATACAACTCCCAGAATTCCCTAGCCAGCGTGGCCGGTTCAGGAATTCTGGGAATTGAAGTCCACAGGTTGTAAGGTTGCCTGCCCCTGGCTAGGATATCTGAAACGAGTTTCACTCAGGCGTGAGGACGAGACGATGGCCATTTGGTGGAGATGAGCCAGATGGCTGTGTGTGGGTGCAAAAGAGGAAAAACTCAAAATCAAAGGCAAAAATAAAATTAAAAATGCCTCAGCTGAAGGTAGGCAAATCCTGCTGGTTTATTTATTTTTTTAAAAAGAAGACAACTTCAAGTCAAGCTGAATTCATGGCCATTACACCACACTGCAACGGCAACAGGCAGAGCAGGAGATTTTAATCCTAACTGATGATGGGACTACAACCCAAGGACACAAATGGGACGGGATGGTATGGAATAGCATAGTATGGGACAGAGCAGAACTGAATATATCAAATGGGAGTGGAGTGGAGTGGAGTGGAATGGAATAGAATAGAGAATAGAATCTTTATTGAGAATAGAATATAGAATAGAATAGAATATTGAGAATAGAATAGAATAGAGAATAGAATCTTTATTGAGAATAGAATATAGAATAGAATAGAATAGAATCTTTATTGAGAATAGAATATAGAATAGAATAGAATCTTTATTGAGAATAGAATATAGAATAGAATCTTTACTGAGAATAGAATAGAATAGAATAGAATAGAAGCTTTATTGAGAACAGAACAGAATATAGAATAGAATCTTTATTGAGAACAGAGTAGAGTAGAGTAGAGTAGAGTAGAATAGAATAGAATAGAATAGAATAGAATAGAATAGAACAGAACAGAATAGGATTTATTGGCCAAGCATGATTGGACACACAAGGAATTTGTCTCCAGTGCATAAGCTCTGAGGGTACCTCCAAACAACAAAGTGATGTCATAGATCACAAATCATAATTACAATCACAAATCATACAATCAACAAGTGGTAAATCATAAATACGGATAACAGAAGGTAGTAGGAAAAATGAGAAGAGCAGAAAGAGGAGAAGGGATAATTGCAACACAGCCCTATTACATGGGTGCATAGCTCCAGGCCTAAGAGAGTGCTGTGGGAATCAGGTGTTTAGCGGAGTGATGGCATGGGGGGGGGGGAAACACTACCTATCAAATACCCCCTCGGAGGTAGCAAAGACTTCAATATTACCGTCCTGTAGAATTTTTCCAGTAGCGGCATGGTGGAAGTTGGAGGGGAAAAGAATTGTGGCTGGAAGTCTGGCTTGACCGTCTGGATGGCCCTGAGGACCATTGTGACTTCGTTGTCTTCGTAAGTGGAATCCTTGAAGAAGTTTTGCAAGGAGAAACCCTCACTTTCCAGCTGTTCGATGCATCTGTTGGAGAGAGTGACAGTCTCAGCTTCCGGACAGTGTGTGTAGTTCTTGCCTTCCAACTCTCCGTTTAGGGCAGTGGTTCTCAACCTGTGGGTCGGGACCCCATTTGGGGTCGAATGACCATTTCACGGGGGTCGCCAAACCACGCTGTCCACCATTTTTTCCCTTTTCCCTAGCTGTCCTACTCCCTCTTATTGGTGGCCACATCCACTTGGGGGTCACCACAACATGGGGAACTGTATTATGGGGTCACCGCATTAGAAAGGTTGAGAACCACTGGTTTAGGGACTGTTTTAGGTTTCAAAGGCACTGGAAAAAAGCGACTTATGACAGTTTTTCACACTTAACGACGACCATTGCAGCCTCCCCAGGGTCACCTCATCAAAATTCGGACACTCGGCAACTGGCTCTTAATTATGATGGTTGCCGTGTCCCGGGGTCACGTGATCACTTTTTAAAAAATAATATTTTATTAATTTTCTATTTTTACAAATCGTTAAGTGCTTAGTAAACCACGTGTTGTCTGGGTCCATTTTTTAACTTAATAATACACATTGAATTCCTAATCTCTACCCCTTTTTTCCGGTGATCAACTACATCCCACATCTGAAATTATTCTATGTCTTCTTTTCCTTTATCTTTGAATATCGATCTGTCCATTTCTACACAGTCCGGTGTTTTCTTGATCCTCTCTTCTTCAGCTAATGTTTCTTTATTTTTTTTCCGGCACTAAGCAAATACAATGCTTACTGCTATTAATACATGCAAAGTGAAATGTATACTTCCTCATCGCATTTTTCTAATATTGTATCTAGTAAAAAATAGTTCCAGTTTATAACATCTTTTCTGTCCAACTCATATCTCAAATTATATTTGCAATCGAGGCCACCTTACTGAACCGATACCCTGTTCTTCCAACTCTTATTTCAATTTTGGTTTTCCCTTCAGTATTCAAAATATCTTTATAGGTTACAATTTTCTCAAAATTGATTAAGTTTGGGTGAATAAAACCTTCCCTGGTTAAGAGCCATCCTGTTATTTTCGTATTTCCCAGACCATAGAAAAGTATGCCATCAGGTGATCCCCTTTTGTCACCGTCTGGCAAGGAAAGTCAAGGGGGAAGCCGGACTCCCCTACCAGGGGTAGGCAACCTTGGCTCTTTTATGACTCGTGGACTTCAACTCCCAGAATTCCTGAGCCAGCCATGCTGAGAGGAAAGGGAGAGGTTTCCAAGCTGAGCCATGCTGGCTCAGGAATTCTGGGAGTTGAAGTCCACGAGTATAAAAGAGCCAAGGTTGCCTACCCCTATCTTAGGACGAAGATTAAGAGCAGGGGTCTTCAAATTTGCCCCTTTTATGACTCATGGACTTCAACTCCCAGAATTCCTGAGCCAGCCATGCTGAGGGTTTTGAAAGGGAGAGTTTCCAAGCTGAGCCATGCTGGCTCAGAAATTCTGGGATTTGAAGTCCACAAGTCATAAAGCGGCCTAGGCCTAGGCCAAAGATAGGCAACCTTGGCTCTTTTATGACTTTTAAGTCCACGAATCATAAAAGAGCCAAGGTTGCCTACCCCTGCCCTAACCACAGTGTTACTAACTTAACAGCTGCAGGGATTCACTGGATAACGGTGGCAAGAAAGGTCGTAAAATGGGACACAGCGTGCTTAACAACCGTCTTGCTTAGCAACAGTAATCAGCCGGTCAATTGTAGTTGCAAGTCAAGGACGACTGGTATAGGAGTCTAAAGGCAATGATACAGGTATCCCTCAAGTTATGACCGCAATTGGGATCAGAATTTTCATTGCTAAGCAAGGTGGTTGTTAAGTGAGTTGCGGCCAGTTTTATGACGGTTTTGCCATGGTTGGTAAACGGATCACCGCAGATGTTAAGAGAATCACGCAGTTGTTAAGTGGAATCTGACTTCACCCATGGATGTCAGAAGGCAGATGGGAAGTTTGCAAATAGGGATCACATGACCTCGGGATGCTGCAACTCTCGTAAATTCATTCCAGTGGCCAAGCACCTGAATTTTGATCACATGGCAACAGGTACGCTACAATGGTCATAAGTGTGAGGACCGGCCATAAGTCACTTTTTTCAGTGCCACTGTAACTTTGAAGTCACTAAATGAGGTTTATTAGTCAAGGATGACTTGCAAATGTAATTAACATAAAAAGAATCTGAGGATCAGAGCAACAGTCATTGAGGGAAGTTAGCCCAGAGAAGGAAATATTAAAAGAACAGAAAAATATATTTTTCCTCAAAATGGTTTTTTAAAACCAAACCTGGCCCCAAATCTATCTCTCTGCCCCAAGCAAGAGCTAGCCCCATACAAATGCAGATGTAAAACCATCAGAAAGTTGAAGCCAGAGCACTCAAGAAGACAAAGAGAAAATCTGCATGCCCCACCCAAACTCTAGGAGTCATTAGCCCCATCACCTAGGAAGCAGGATATGATAATAGGATTAAATCACAGATATCAAGGCCTAGAAAAACACTCAGAGATAGCCTCAAGGTTTATGCCACAGGAACAGGAAACTATTCCAAACAAGGCTAGAAGGGGTATAAAAACCTACTGCCCATGTGCTCAACTCCTTTTTCTTCTCCTCTGCTCTTCCTTGCAAGGACCATCTTTCTGCTTCTTCAATAAACTGTAACCTTCTTCCCAAAGCAGTCGCCATGTTGCTTATTTATCCCCGGCTTGGATGAACCAGGATGAAGACTTACTTCTGACATCACGTAGACCAGTGTTTCCCAACCTTGGCAACTTTAAGACGTGTGAACTTCAGATCCTTGAATTCCCCAGCCTAGCATGGCTGGCTGGGGAATTCTGGGAGTTGAAGTCCACAAGTCACAAATGGGCCAGGTTTGAAGACCCCTGGTCTAGACTAAGGAAACTCTTCAGCATAACTTGCTAATAACATCTATCAGCCTCAGCAAATGGGAATTTGGAGTTAGATCAAGAGTGTTGGATGGATTCACTGGCAGAATGAGTGTTGTAAAGGTCAACAACATCCTGCAGGCAACAGTTTTCAATGTGATACTCTATGATACCACTCTATGGTAGCAAGGTAAAGTCTGAAGAAGCACGACAGAAATAATGTTGACTCTTTTGAACGATGGTATTGTGGAGTATAACAGAATAACAGAGTTGGATGGACTCTGGAAGTCTTCTAGCCAGGGCTAGGCAACCTTGGCTCTTTTATGACTTGTGGACTTCAACTCCCAGAATTCCTAAGCCAGCATGGCTCAGCTTGGAAACCTCTCCCTTTCCCCTCAGTATGGCTGGCTCAGGAATTCTGGGAGTTGAAGTCCACGAGTCATAAAAGAGCCAAGGTTGCCTACCTGTTCTAAGCCAACCCACTGCCCAAGCAGGAGACTTTACACTTGTCTAGACAAATGGCTGTCCAATCTCTTCTCAAAAATCTCCAGTTACGGAACACCCACAATCTCTGAAGGCAAGGAGATTCTTGAGAATCCCACAGACCGCCAAGGAAGCCACCCAGTGGATCACAGAACAAATCAATCCAAACTTCTCGTCCCATCAACCAGGCTCAAATTATCCTACTTTGAACACATCATAACTTCCACCAGAAGCCTATAAAAGCTGGGAAAGGCAGAAGGAAAGAGATGAAAAAGGAAACAAGAGGGATGGACCTGGATTTACAGTGATGATGGGTTGCACCATAGGAAGACCAGGTTGAGAACAGATCATCCTGGAGAAGATCAATTTATGTGGTCGCTAAGAGCCAATACCGCTTGAGGGTGCACAATCTATCAATCAAGCTGCGCCAGCCATGCTTCGCCCACTGCCAGTCAGCCATACACAGCAGGGGAAGGGGGAGTTGTGGGATGCTTTTAGGGGGGGTGGTGTTAGCATAAAGGGAATCGATAGTACTGGTTCCAAGGTCACACCATGGAAGACAGCACCATCCAGCCTGCCAAGCCAGGGACTGTTCCCAAAACTGTTTGAATGTAATTGGACAGTTGGGAGATAACCAGGGAGGGGAAGATGGGAAGAAGGCAAAAGTTAATCAGATGCTTTGGGCGTGAAAACTCAGATCCGTCTTTGCTACACTGCAATCACTTGGCTCTAGTAAAGTGTACTCTCGTTAACAGTGGATTCAGGAGTGTTTCTTTTCTAATTGACCAAGTTGGGACGGCTCAATCGATCGATCGCTCAAAGTTTGTGGTGAGTGGTTTTACGATTTCCCCCAAGGAAGTATTTGAGATGTGTTTTGGCCTCTTCCCTGTCACAGCTTCTTTGACGTAGTTTAAAATATCATGCATTCACCCCCTCCTACGGTCTATGATTGATTATGTGCTTATCAAGTGGTTTCGACTCCTAGCAACCACATAAATACTCTCCTTGATGTCCTACGATTATCCTAAGATTAAAAGATAAACAGTTGACCAGAGGACAGTAGCATTTTATTTATGGACGGCTGCAAGTGATTTACCTCACAGGATGCTTGCGGCTATAATTTTCTCTAGACATTTTTATCTAGGCTGATCTTTTGTTAACAGGATTCAATGCTGAGTAATTTTTCTGCGGCATTTCAAGTAGGGAATGGCGTTTTCTATTGAGAATTGCTCCTTGGGCAATCTCCGTGGTTCTCTGTCAGCACTGCAGCTTGTCAGGAGCTAACTTGATGCTTGCTTCGTCTGGAGACACCTCTCACTATTCCCCAGGTAGTCAATCAATCAGTCAATCAATCAGAATAGAGCTAGAAGGAACCTTGGAGATCTTCTAGTCCAGGGGTAGGCAACCCAAAACACTTAAAGAGCCACTTGGACCCGTTTCCCACCAAAAACAAAACACTGGGAGCTGCAAAACCATTTTGATATCTAAAATGAAGATAACACTGCATATATCCTTTTTTACCTTTATTATAGGTTTGTGTGTGTTTGTGTGTGTGTGTTTGTGTGTGTATGTATGTGTGTGTATATATGTATATGTATGTATACACACACACACACACACACACACACACACACACACAGAGGTAAAAAAAGGATATATGCAGTGTTATCTTCATGTTAGATGTCAAAAGGGTCTCTCTCTCTCTCTGTCTCTCTCCCTCCCTCCCTCTCTATCTGCCCTTGGTCTGCCTGCCGCTCCTCTTCCCCCGCTCTCTTTCTTTCTCTCTCTCTCTCTTTCCTCTCTCTCTCTCCCTCACTCTCTCCCTCTTTCTCCCCCCCCTCTCCTATCTGCTGCTCACCTGACAAGCTTCAAGCTGTTGTCCAACAAAATAAGGGGTAGACAACCTCGTCTCTTTTATGACTCATGGACTTCAACTCCCAGAATTCCTGAGTCAGCCTAGCTGAGCTAGCTAGCTCTCTCCTGCCCTTCCTGCTTCCTGCTTCCTGCAGAGACGCAGCAAAGGGAGGAGCTCCGCCTAGTAAGCTTTTCAGCTCCTCGGAGAACACTGTGAGTGCACTCTCTTTTACACACACACACACACACACACACACACACACACACACACAAAACACACAGAGAGAGAGAGAGAGAGAGAGAGAGAGAAGCAGGGAAGTGCAATTGCCTCTCTCTGTCTCTGTCTCTCTCTGCAAAGGCAGAGGAGGCTGGGAGCCGCAGGGGAAGGCTCAAAGAGCCGCATGCGGCTCCGGAGCCGCAGGTTGCCGACCTGTGTTCTAGTCCAACCCTCTGCTTAAGCCGAAGATCCTATACCAGGGGTAGGCAACCTTGGCTCTTTTATGACTCGTGGACTTCCAGAACTCCTGAGCCAGCATGGCTCAGCTTGGAAACCTCTCCCTGTCCCCTCAGCATGGCTGGCTCAGGAATTCTGGGAGTTGAAGTCCACGAGTCATAAAAGAGCCAAGGCTGCCTACCCCTGCCCTATACCCTTTCAGACAAGTCTCTTCTTAAAGACATCCAGTGATGAAGCAACCACAACTTCTGGAGGCCAGCTATTCCACCGGTTGATTGTCCTCACTGTTAGGAATTTTCTCCTTAATTCCAGGTTGCTTCTCTCCTTGGATTGGTTTCCATCCATTGTTTCTTGTCTTGCCTTTTGGTGCTTTGGACAATGACCTTCTTTGTTGCAGCCCCTCAAATACTGCTATCAAGTCACTCCTGGTCCTTCTCTTTTCCAGGCTAGCCATACCCAAATCCTGCAACCGTCCTTCATGTGTTTATGCAACCCAGGACTGTATTAGCTTTTCTAGCTACTGCCGCACACTGCTGGGCTCACAACCATCTGTTTCGTGATCGTTCAAAGTTACAAGCTCACTGAAAAAAGTAACTTATGGCCGGTCTTTGCACTTATAACTGTCGCAGCAGCCCCCACGGTCATGGTTATGTGATCAAAATTTTTACGTGTTTACAACGGTTGCAGCATCCCTGGGTCCCCCAATCACCATCTGCAACCTTCTCAGCTGGCTTCCGACAGCCAAAGCCAATGGAAGAAGATGGATTTGCTTAACGACCGTACAATTCACTTAGCAAAAGCAGTTATTCGCTTAACAGTCATGCCAAAAACGGTCATAAAGTTGGGCACGACTCACTTAACAACTGCCTTGCTTAGCAATGGAAATAATAATAATAATAATAATAGAGGCAAACCAAGGGGAGTTGGCAGTGAAGGAATCCAGCAGAGATATACAACTGTTCTCATTTGGAAACCAGGCACCTCTTCCTCAGGAAGAACAAAACCCTCTAACTAAAGAAATAAAAGAATTGAAACAAAGAATAACTGAGCATCTAGAACAGCACAAAAACAACAGAATAAGGCTACCTGCATTGAAGCTTGTTCCAAAGAAACAGCTAGCATAAGCATTAAAAGATGCAAATACTGCAATATCAAGTATAAGCACCAATTCACTGCAAGAAACAAACCAACTAATGTACAGCACAGCTGCAGTTATAACAGAATACCTGGGATGCAAAATCAACAAAAAAGAAAAACAAACAAACAGTGCACCAGAAAAATGGAAGGTTAGACTAGAAAATAAGATCAGCAAGTTAAGATCACATGCAAGCAAGCTAGAACAGATGAAAGAAAAGAAGCTGAAGAACAAGAAGACCAAAGAATACCTAATCAAGAAATACCACTTAGAAACAAGGAAGATAAAGGATAGATAGACTTTATCTACCAAGGCAAATAGGTGGGCGTGGAATGCTACAAGTACATCAGATGGTTGAAGAAGAAAAAATGGCTTTGGAAGAATATCTGAAGGACAATGATGAAGATGCACTGAAATTAGTATATCAGGAAGGCTTACTGACTACTGGAGAGACCAAACTGGCCTACAAGAAAGACCAAATGAAGAACAGAATAGAGGCATGGGAAGACAAAGCACTACATGGCCAATACATGAAAAAAATAGCTGGGAAAGCAGATAATAATAAAACCTGGCAATGGCTAAGAGCAGGAAAATTGAAGAAAGAGACCGAGGGACTAATTCTGGCTGCACAAGACCAAGCCTTAAGGACAAATGCATACAAAGTCAAAATTGAGAAGACAGCAACAGACAGTAAGTGCCGCCTATGCAAAGAAGCTGAAGAAACAGTGGACCACTTGGTAAGCTGTTGCAAGAAGATTGCACAAACTGATTACAAGCAGCGGCATGACAAAGTAGCAACAATGGTGCATTGGGAGATCTGCAAAAAATATCATTTGCCTGTAAGCAAAAACTGGTGGGATCATAAAATAGAGAAAGTCATAGAAAATGATAAAATTAAACCGCTCTGGGACTTCAGAATTCAAACAGACAAGCACCTGCAACATAGAGGTGGCGCAGCAGTTAGAGTGCAGTATTGCAGGCCACTTTAGCTGACTGTGTTCAGCAGGTCAGCGGTTCAAATCTCACCGGCTCAAGGTTGACTCAAATGAGGACCCAGATTGCTGGGGGCAATGTAAATATATATATATATATATATATATATATATATATATATATATATATATATATATATATATATTGCTTACTGGTGTACACCGCTTAGAGAGTGCTTGCACTTAAAGCGGTATATAAGTCTCATAAATAAATAAATAAAATAAATACCCCAGACTTAACAATTGTCGATAAGAAAGACAAAAAAGCCTGGATAGTGGACGTGGCAGTGCCTGGAGACAGCAGAATAGATGAGAAAGAACTGGAGAAGATAACAAAATACAAAGACCTACAAATAGAAATAGAAAGACTGTGGCAAAAGCAAGCAAGGGTAGCACCAATAGTAATAGGCTCCTTGGGTGCAATCCCAAAACAACTGGAGCACCACTTGAACACCTAGTAAGTTTTTCTTAACTTTAATTTCCCATTGATATTTAAGTTTAACGTTTAATCTTTATCATTACCAGATTTTAAATGATCCCAATTTCTAAGTCTATATATATATATATATATATATATATATATATATATATATATATATATCCCTACCCCTCCCCAGTTCAAACAGGAACAGCACCCCAAGACTATCCTACATCCAAGAGATAATGTTCCTCAATTACGGCAGCTTGTAGATGTGTGGACTTTCAACTCCCAGGATTCCCTAGTGAGCCCTGCTGGCTGAGGGAATGCTGGGAGTTAGAAGTCCACACCTTAAAATTGGCAAAGTGGAGAAACACAACCGTGTAAGAGCATCACAGCTCCTTACCTTGAAATGATAAGGGGTTCCGCTTTGATTCGACCCATGCAATTTAGCACAGCCATGTAACAATCCTGATTCGGCTTGAGGTTATTTTCCTCCAGCACAGAAAACAGCCAGCCAATTTTCTTAAGTGCACCCTAAGCAGAGAAGGAAACAGGAATGAAATGCAATCACAGACTCCATCCGGATAATCTTATCCACCACCGAGCCCATAAAAAGAAACATAACACGATCCAAAATACAAAATGGAGTTCTGCAAGACTTTGCTTGTCAGAAAGTCACAAAAGAGGATTGCCTGACCCCAGGACACGGCGACTCGTTATAAATACG